AGGAGTTAAAGGGAAAATACTGATCTCACATGGAAGGACACAAAGGCTATGGGCAGGGGATTTAGCTCAGTTGCATCACGCCTGCCTCGAAAGCGCAAGGTCCTGAGTTCGATCCCCAGTACCAAAAAAAAAAAGTCAGGCAGTTCTCTGAAGCATCTTTTATAAGAGCATATATACCGTTCATGAGGGCAGAACCCATGACTTAACAATTTCTCCAAAGACCCCACCTCATAATATCACCACTTTAGCATATGAATTTTGGAGGGACACATACATGCAAACCAAGGAATTCGGAAGCCCAAAAGCCTGCCCACTGGCATGGATGTTGGTCTTGGACAAAAACTTTCTCAAGTCTAGCAAACAGTATCACAGACTACTTGCTTACAGTATAATGGCATAGCTATAGCTATAGCTATATAGGCCCTTTACATAAGGCTTTGCGTGCTTTGTTACTATAACAACTTACCGAGGGGTAGGTACTCTATAAAGAAAAGGTTTATTGAGCCGGGAATGGTGGCACATGCCTGTAATCCTAGCACTGAGGAGGCTGAGGCAGGAGGATTGCCATGAGTTCAAAGCCATCTTGGGATACATAGTTAAGAGTTCAAGACCAGCCTGAACTACATAGTGAGACCCTGTCTCAAAAACCACAAACACACACACACACACACACAAAAGAAAAGGTTTATTTGTTTCACAGTTCTGGAGGTCTAAGAGCACTGGACCAATATTGGCTTCTGACAAGGGCCTCATGGCAGAGAGCATCACATGGAGAAGAGTCAGCATGTGTGGGAAAGGTGTCGTATACTGAGAGAGGAATTAAGAGAAAGCTAAGGAAGCCAAATTTGGTTTATAACAATCTGATCTCGTGGTGATCAATCCAGTCCCACAAGAGCAAGAGCTCACTCCCATGAGAAAAGCATTAATCCTGCTTATGGACCTACTCACCTCTTAAAGGCACCACCTCCCAACAACCCCACAGTAGGGACCAAGCTTCTAGCACATGAAATTTGGGGGACAAATCATGTCCAAACCATAGTAACACCTTAAGCATTCTCTCAGAATGAAATGAATAGAAATGGGTAGAGAAAAAAGGCAGTTCTCTCTTTGCAGAGAAGCTGTCAGGAAAAGCAGTCCTAACCTACTCAAAGGTTGTTCACTGCAAAATTTTCCTTCTCCAAAAAGAAAGCAGGTTACAGGACCTCTCTAGATCAAAAGACTCCTTTCCAAATGGGTGTGTACACTGGCAGGCCCAAAATGGGAAAATGCCCTTAACCAGCAATGTTTAATCCTTATAGTTCTTACTTCCTGTTACGTCCTAAGGTTTATTCTTCCTCTCGGATATTTCTAGAATAGTAGGAATTCTCCAAAACACCATGGGAGATATGAAGCAGTGGTTTTCAAAGTTAATTACAACCCACTAGATATTTTAGGGTATTAACATTCTTAGAAGGACAGAATAGAAATTGCAGAGAGCATTGCATATAATAAGTACAGTTCCATGACACTTGCATGCATGTTTAAATATGTAAGTTTGTGTTTATGGTATTGGGCTATGATGTAAAACATACTGATGATATTAAGAAACATTAATTTTAATAATAACAGGGTCTATTTATAAACCAAGTATACTGCCTCTTGCAGTTTTTGATGGTGTTTGGAAAGCTGGCTACCGTAATCTGATAAGATATGCATCTAACCAGCTCAATGGCAGTATGTTCTACTGCCTTTCCCATCTATTTCTGCCTATCAAACTTGTTAACATACAGTGTACACTATTCTGATCGGTTCTTTTATTAACTGTTCATTCATACTTGCTGGCATTTTGTCCATCATCGGTGTCTCTGGTTTCCTAGTCAATTGTTCTTCTCTTAGATGTAAGAGTACTGATCCCCCCCACACCAATTTAAGATTTTATTGTTTTTGAATATATCGTACTGAATTAAAGTCACACAAATATACAACGCTAGGCTTTGTCATATGCTCTATTTCTTAACTGTTATACTGCAATCTTATTTTTTTCAACTTCTTCAAGGTTTTCTTTAATCTTTAAGTTTTAGCATTCCCAAATGTAGTTCAACAGTACAAGTCAAGCTGATCACTGTCAGCCTTTACAGTTATAAGGCCGAACAGTTCTCGTACCTGTACCTTGCTCTTCCCTATGATAAGCCTCTATCACTGCTCTCCTCCTCTCCAAATTTACCCTGTTTATCAAGGCTTAACCCGCTCCATAGAGTCTAACTACCTTCAGTGCGACTGCTCATTATCTTATCTGAATGTAGCTAGTACTGCATTTCCTCCAAATAGTAAGAACTTAATTACAGGGGACTTCAGTTATTTCCATAAATGTGAGCCTGTATGGCCCTTGAGGTAAGGGCCATTGTTTACACAGCTCTTGCTTTCTACAGTTAAAAAAGCATTAGGAGAGGAAAGGTTATTGTCCTGACCTGGTACTGAGGGATCTGAAATAAGCTCTTGTGGAAACAAGACCTCTGACACCCGTCCTTTTCTTCTAATAGCATGAGTAGTAGTACTATGCAAAGGGAAGGCTATCAAAACATCCTGAAGACAGTAAGTCTGTAATTCATGTTAGTACATGTCAGTAAGATAAAAAGTACACACCCTAGTGCTTCAGATGGTCCACTATAGTGACGTTTCATTTTTATAAACCTTAGGTACCTATTCTATATAAATATGAACTCTGGATAAAGAAATTGTGGCTGATTACAGCAAAAGGTCACTAATAAGAGATATTAGTAGGTAGTAATAAAATATGTCTATTTACAGTTTCACTTATCAATTTGGGCAGAAGTTGTCACATTGCTGCTGTATTGAGGTAGAGAGGCAACCACAAGGGGAGGGATTAATACAGAGACAAATGCTAAAGCAATGCATGAAAGTAACATGTCAAATCAAATGCTTAATATTTAATCAAATGTAAGTGAATCTTTCCTCAGTAAATTTTTCATAACTTGGTGCACCATAAAATGCCAACAAAACTTCTGACTCACAGATACAATTATATGAAATACAATTTAAGAGCTCTTTTTAATTCTTTAGCATCAGCAGACAATAATATTGTTGTGCATCTCGATTGGCATCAACATGAAGTTGAACTGATAGGGTAAGTTTGATAGGGAGAAAAAAACATTTCCAGGGTAGAAATTACCTCCAGGCAAACCCTAAACAGCTGAAAAATACTCGACCACATTAGCACCATATTTAGAGAAATAAAGAGGGTTAAAATCTCCCCAACTACCAAAACAATAATCCCAGCAATTGAGAGCATCTTGAAAGCGATTTAGTAGTACAGACTTTTACATTTTTAACAAAACGGATGTCCTTAGTTGTGAATTATTTACAAACATACTTTATAAACTGTAGGTATAGTGTGAAAGTCTTTTTCAAAGATCTCAGTAAAATAATCACCAAATGACATGGTGCAATTATAGTATTGATCATCACAGTATTATTCACAGCTGTAACGGTACAACTACACAAACACAGTGCTACCCATACTTTTGGAAGTCAGTACTGTGAACACATTCCTGTAACTGATCGATACATCAATCCTTTTATTGATCTAGAAACTGTGGCACTGAAAGTGTGAATTACCCATGTAATGATGTTGTCACCAAGGGACGCCAAGAATAGAAACCAAACCCCTTGACTATCAGGCTAGTGTTTTCCACTAATTGTGCTCCTTTCTACTCATCCGAGAGCATCAAGAGTAAAGAGTTAGTGGAGGGAGTGGACACAAATGAGCCAAGTCTGCGAGGTGGAGACTGCACGGAAGGTCCTCAGGAATCGCTCTTTGACACTTCCCTTTTGTTCTGGCTGGGCAAGATGAAAGCAGCAACCACAAATCCCTGGGACCAAGAACTGGAACTAGGTACCGTCCGCCGCGGTAACTCTCTTCCCCTCGGTAACCGCTCCTTCCGGCCCAGCCCAGCGCTCACCCCACCTGCACCCCACCACCTCCCCGTCCCCCTCCTTCACCCCGCTCTGCACAGCACTGCTCGGGTCCCGCCCTCCACTTGGCCCTTTCTCCAGTCCCGAGGAGGTGCTGCAGGGGTTCGGAGTGCCAGCAGCGTTTCTCTAGAGAACGAATGGCATTAGAAACGCGTTTCGAGTGTTAGAAACCCCGGCGCTGGAACGGAGGCTACCGCTACCGCCGCGCGAGGGTCTAGGTGTAGCTCATCACGACAAAGCAAAATTTAGACAATAAGCACAGTCTCTCTCTCTTTAGCCGGGAGCGTCTCCCAGTTCCAGCATCCCTCAGGCAACCTCCCCAGGGAAGACGCCTTTCAGAGCGCTTGAGTTTACACTTTTCCAGCTCTGGAGGACGACACCGGCGAACCCTGACCCCGGGGGATTCCAAACCGTTACTCCGCCCGCCGGGGTGGGGCCAGCCGAACCGCCGCGCCTGCGCGTTCCGTCAGTCGGCCGGCGCCAGCACACTACAAGTCCCACAAGGCAACGCTCTGAGCACGGCGTCCGCCTTACCTGCCGCGAGCTCATTCCGCCGGCAACTACCGCTCTACCCTCCCCCGTTCGCGTCCGGTCCTTCCCATAGCTAAAGACTATTTCCTCTTGAAGCCGAGGAGGAGAGGTCTTAGTAACCTCCACCTCTAAGCTCCTCGCGTACTCGTTTTTTCCGTCTCTGCCCGGACTATGCTTGACTCCCTACCCGGAGTGGCTCGGTGGAGACGGGAGAAAGAAGCCCTTACAGGCCAAAACGGGGAAATCCGGGAGCACTTCCGGCCCCTAGGCTCAGGAAGGTATCGCGCAGGCGCTCGCTGCGACTCCGGCGCGGTTGACTTCCGCTCCCACTGTGCTCTGCGAGCCGAATCATGGATCACACTGGTAAGGAGGCGGAGGCAGTGGGGGTCCCGGTTTCATGCCCCCTTGGCCGGTCTGGGACTGGTTGCCTGGTGGGCAAAAGGGGTAACGCTCGCCCCACAGCACTGGGGTATGGTGGTGAGAAATAAATACCACAGACCGCTTCCTGTGCCCGCCGGGCCTGCTGCCTCTCGGCCTGCCCTCCAGTACGGTACCTCCATCCTCGGTGCCGGCAGCAGACGCTGGTTCTCTGGTTCTGCTGAGCTCCGAGCCCGGACCATGGGCAGCGCAGGCTTCGTGGGAAGGGGAAAACGCCAGCTCTTTTCCCCCTCAACCTGGCTGCTCTGCCCTTCGTTATGGGGCACTGGCGGGTGGATTCCATTCTCGGAGAAGCCTCATTACTGTGGGAATGGATGGGCGAAAGTGGGTTGGAGACTTCCTGCAGTCTCAGCCAGCCTTGAGAGGGTGCGGCGATGGTCACTTCTGTCATTATTGTCTCTCCAGTCCTTCATGGACTAGAGGTTAGCGACCACAGAGTCGAATATAGTTTTCAAAATCATAAACAGAGCAGCTTTTCTACTTAAGGCTTTCAAAGCATGGCCCGCGCTTCTGCTGTGGCCCTTTCTCATCATTTGGGAACGTTTAAAAGAAGACCTTAAAATGAAGACAATCTCATCGCTTTTCCCAAGTAAGATTGGCTCCATCCCTTCTTTGTGTTTCTTGGCTTCTCTTCCTTAAGGTTCTTGACTATTGAGTGAATTCGCTGGAGTTAGTAAGTGCTTCAGACAGTTATATCGACCGTAGCACAAGTAAGGAAAAAAGGCTTTTTTCTTAAAACATTGATTGGAATGTCCTCAGTCATCAGTTACCTACTTAACTATATAATTGTGTGTATGTATATATGCTTGTTTTTGCTGAGTGTGCACAGATACTTGTAGCCCTTGGGATGGAATGATGGAAAGGTAAACAATAGAACTGAGTCTTTGTCCTCATGGAGCTTACATTCTTTTGGAGAAGACAGTTTTTAAAAAACAAATGTTGAATGCTTTGAAGAATAACGGGTGCTATGGAGTAGGAAGTTTCAGAGAGGGTAGTCAGGGAAGGTTTTTCCTGAACTGTATTAGTTATGCTGAGATCTGATGAGAAGAATCCTGCCAGTATATAAAGCAGAAGGGAGAGCATTTTCGGTAAGCATAAAGGCACTGAGTAAGAGTAAAAGAGCCTTAAGATAAGATGGGAAAGGAAAGTGTAAATCTCACTCCAGGCTTTGAAGGATTTTAAGTGAATATGAAGCGACTGAGCAGAAATAAAGGAATATAGTCTTTTAAACATATAATGGACTGGTCCATGGAAAATGGTGTAAGAGAGGCAAGAACAATAGAAAATACACAATTTAGGAGGTGGTTGTAGTAGACTGAAAGGGAGACCTGGTTTAGTGATAAGAAAGGGGGGTTGTGTAGCTCAAAGGTAGAGTGTTTGTATAGCATGCTCAAGGCCATAGGTTCCATCCTCAGCACACAAACAAAGGCAGAAATATTTTAGTGGTAGAACTCAAACACAGACTGATGGATTGGTTTGGAGGTATGTAAGAGAAATGAGAAATGCATGGGTTTTGGGTTTGAGCATCTTGGTAGTGCCTACTACTGAGTTGAAGAAGACAGGAGAAAACCAGATTCTTTTAAAGGTGGGAGACACTGTGGGAATTTGGAAACAAGAATTTGATTTTGGACTGCTAGTATGTGTGAGATGTGTTGAGATATATGAAGGGAGATATCAAGAGAAGATCAGGAATGATACGTACTGAAAATACATATATGGGAGTTAGTAAGTTATAGTTAATGTCCTTCAAAGCATGAGAATTGGTGAGCTCGCTTCAAGAGAGTGAGTACAAAAGAGGGACTATCACCAGGCTGTAAGGAACTCCAGCTTCCCAGCTTTGGGAAACTTATGGAGTTGAAACTCTGGAATCTCAAAGGAGGAGTAGCAAACATTCCTTTTCAGCAAAGCATTTCACATTTGATCCTGTTACTGGATTTGGGAGTCATGTCCCTGTCAGTTTCAGGCTGTTAGGAAATTTGAATATAGGTGAATGTATAACAGAGTATTTATTATCCTACTTTCTAAGTTACATATTTGCCTAAAGGAAATAAGTCATACTAACGTGAAAATACTGATGAGGTTCTGAGTTCCATCCCCAGGACTTGGGGGGGGCACGGGGCACACTAATGAGCTGACCAGTTGAAAAATGAGTTATTGAGTCAGATGTATTTTCTGCTTAACATTAACTTCTATTTTTTCATTTATTTGAGGTAATCTTAATGTTTCATATCAAAAAACAGTATCAGTTGCTGTGCACTGATTGTGATGAAAAATTACAAAGCTTGCCAAAGATTCAGATTTTCTTGAAGTTCATAGATGTGAATTTGAATAGTTCATAGACATAAACTATTTGAATCACAGGGCCATTGGCAAGTGACAAAATGGCCAGTTATCTTGTAAATTGAAGACATCATGACAGTATGAGCATCTCAAAAGAACAATTTTAATATCAAAAGATAAGGTCTTTGGGAAAATTGATGAAACCTTGAATATTATCCAAAAATGACACATTTTATGAACGTACTTAAAATTCAAATGTAAATTGAAGTGTTCTAATAGAATTTTACCAGAAAAAAGTCACTTCAGGAAACTCCCAATTAACAGTTGATTCCATTCTTTGGTCTTTCTAAGAATTAGCACTTTTGTACTAAAACATTTCTTGGTTCCCTTTATTCAAGATAAAATCCTAAATGAATGTTTTAAAATTGTATTACATAAAGTCATTGCTCCTCTTAAATATGGCTTCATCTTCAATGGCAAATTGCCCTTAGTTCTTACTTTGTATATACTGTACCAAGGACTTTGTTATGGGCTTTATGTTTTGCTACTGTATATTCAAAAAGAAATCATGTTGTATGTTTTTCTTAATTTAAGCAAGAACCAGATAGCCCCCAAACGAGCCCAGAATATTGTCACAGTTAAATGCTGTACTTTATAACTTACAATCTTTAAAGCAAGCAGCAAAGTTTCAAGGGGAAGCAGGCCCTTAAAAGTGGTAGGTTGGTTATGTCAGCAACAATAGAGACCCCAGTTTACTAGTTTACTAGTTTACTAGTTTCTCATTTGTCTTAAATGAATTTTACATGGACAGTTTGGTTATCAGTTTGGAGTGTAATATTTCTTGCAGGGACAGTCCATGGCTTTATTCAATAATTTATGTTTAAAACGTTAGAAGTAGAAAAAACTTTGTATTTTCTAGAGCATTTTCATAGCATTTCCTTTTTTGTCTCTAGGTAGAGTTGAATATTTTGTGTTACATCTTTTCATATACTTGAGAAAAGACAACTGAAGCTTTACATGAGTCAATTCTTTTTTTTTTTTTAGTACTGTTGATCGAACTTGGGTCCTTGTGCTTGTGAGGCAGGTGGCAGAACCACTGAGCTAAATCCCCAGCCCTACATGAGTCAGTTCTATGAAATAATGCACCTGCTTCTCATGGGACATGAGTTCATTTATTTCATAGATAGTAACAGAATAGAAAGCATCATTTTTTAGACCTAGTTGAAGTTAGAAATCTTGTATCCTTCTAAATTATAGTTTAATATTATAATGCTAAGAATAATTCAGTCACATGTGTGTCTCTAGAAATATAGCATAAATGTATTATTGCATGTTTCTACTAAATGTACAATAATTTTATTACTTCTGAATGCATTTTAGAAAAACCATTTTAAGGACTTAATCACTCTCCTTAAAATTTAACTTCATTTCAGATACATTATATAATTTTGCCTTCATAAGGGTTAGTTTTGTGTTTTCAGTTTGGTTGTCCTGACATAAATTTAGTAAATAGATTTAGTAAATTTATTGAGTGCCTACTTTGCATGTTTGATGGTCCCACACAGAGACAGGGATGGTTTGTTTCTTTCTTTAGCTTTAAAAAATCTCTTAGAGTTACTTTAAGACCCTCAATTCATGAGGGTTTTATATTTCTATAAAGTATTCTAGAATTACAGAAAAATTTTATTGCCCGTTTATATAGGGAGAAGTAAAGGGTTTCCAAAAGGAGCTAATTATAAAGCATTGCTCTAAAGTTCTATCCAAAATAGAGAAAATTAGCAGTTAAACTATATCATATTCAAAATCAGAACCAAGATCTTTAACACTTGATATTGTTGGGTATATTGTTTCAATACCTGTGACAGAATAATCTTCAAAAGAAAAACTAAAAGAAAAATTTATTCATTTATTTTTTTCTAACATAGACAATGAGTTACAAGGCACTAATAGTTCTGGATCGTTGGGTGGTCTTGATGTTCGCAGACGAATTCCTATAAAACTCATCTCCAAACAAGCGAACAAAGCCAAACCTGCACCTCGAGCTCAAAGGACTATAAACAGGATGCCTGCAAAGGCACCAACTGGTGATGAAGGTAATTTGTTTAAACTTACTGGTCCAGTAAACTTACTGGTCCAACAGTCTTTCTGTTGGCTTGCACTAAATAATCCCTATGATTTTATTTACTCATAGCTACCTTTTACAAAAGTTTTACATACTTTATTCACTTTTCAAAAGTTTTGTTTGACATCTCATTTTGGCATCTTTTACTTTTCCTCCCTTTATAAGTTTCCTATTTAAAAAAAAACCAAAATCTAAACAGTATTGTAGAAAGCATAACATTAAAGCAAAATTAGCCTCTGTTCCCCCACAATCCTTCCCTCCAAAGATAATCTCTGGTAAGACTTTCTAATTATGGTAGTATTAATTTTTTATGTATAACTGCCTTTTTTCATGTAATCTGCATTTGATATTTCGTATGTCTTATCAGTACATACAGGTGTACTCTCACTTTTAAAAAATAGGTTTAGATATTTCATTTATAGGTATACCATAATTTATTGAAGAATTTTTCTGTTTGTTTTTTTTTTTTTGCTATACAGGCTATTATGTATACTTTGTAGAATTTGTACTTTGGAAAAATTTGGACATTTGATGCTGTTGTACATTATAGAATTTGTGGATCCTGTCCAATTGCTTTTCAAAAGATACATTAGTTTATATACCCACGCATCAGTATTTGAAACTGTAAACAAGAAAATTGTTTCAATTGGCTCCTGTATATTGTGTATCTTTTTCTATTGGTCTTTTGCATTTTGTATAAAAATTTTTATTGGAAAGAGCTTGAAGATTCTGTGTAGTCAGGTTCCTGGTCTTTGCTGTTATGACTTTGTAGTATTAAAAAGATCTTTGTTAGGAGTTTGAGGCCAACTTGGGCTACATAGGGAGTTCAGGGTCAGCCTGAATTACATAATGAGACAAATAAAAAGGTCTTCCTTTATTCCATGAGCACAAAACAGTTTTCCTATCTTACCTTTTAATGCAAATCAGCAAACTATTTATGGGGCAAATCTGGCCCTATTTTTATAAATAAAATTACTGCAATATAGCCATGACCATTCATTTAAATATTGTCTACAGCTGCTTGCTTTCATGCTATAATGGCAGAATCCTCAAAGCATGAAACATTTACTGACTGAGCTTTTACAGAAAAATGTGCTGACCTCTGCTTTGGAACATTTATAGAGATATATTTGGCTTAATTTTAAAAAATAAAACAAAACAATGACCAAGACCTTACTTTATTTTTTTTCTCTAAACAGCTAGCCAGTGTCTCAGCCACTGAGTAATCTGCTTTTTCCTTGCTGAAAAGGAATCTTGCCATTAACATATTCAAGTTCTGAAAGTCATTGTGCCTATTTCTAGACTTTCTATTCTATTATAGGAATCTGTCTCTATTTTTTTATTAGAATCAGACTGCTGTAATTATACCTTATGTTTTCTTTTACTGTAGGGTTTTTCTCCCTGAACAAGTGTGTTTGAAGTTGGAGTGTTGTTAAATCATGGTAGTGACACTGGGGTGCAGCTCTGTGATAGAGCATGTGCTTAGCCTATTTAAGTCCCCAGCAGTATTCTCAATTGTAAAGTAATAAAGTTGGGCTAGATCGTCACCCAGATTACCTCTGATATTTTAAGCTGATCTTAATTATCTTATTCTTAGGAGAGCTTTGAAAGGCATCAGATAGACTTCTTAGTGAATAAGGCTATTTTGTTAGGTATGTATACTCCAAGATGAAATTTGAGGTTTGAAAAGTTAATGGGTAATACTTTTTTTTTCTTCAGAAGGATTTGATTATAATGAAGAAGAACGGTATGACTGTAAAGGGGGCGAACTGTTTGGAAATCAGCGAAGATTTCCTGGACATCTATTTTGGGACTTTAAGGTATAGCTAAAAGTGAAAAATCAAGTATTAAATACTTGCAGTGCTGAATACATAAAGAATGGTATGAATTTTTATTTTATCTGGTTTTTTTCCCCAGCATACATTAATCATCTTTCTAAAAATGCCCTGTTGCACTATTTCCAAAAATAATTTAAAGTAATTTTAAGTAAAGCCAAGTAAAATCTAATAACCACTATTTAAGAAGAAAAAAATTAATCACAGTGTTCTGGGAAGCTGGGGCAAGATGATTACAAGTTTGAACCCAGCTTGGGCAACGTAGCACCTTAGCAAGACCTTGTCTCAGAATTTTGGGGGATTGGGGGCCGGTAGGGATGTAGCTTAGCACAGAGGCCCTGCATTCAGTCCCTAGTTAATAATGCTTATAAAATTTTAACCATTTTTTAATTGTGTGAATTTTAGATATAGTTTTTAGAATTGCTTAGAGGAAGTTTTAATTATATCATTTCAACAGATAAACATCTTAGGTGAAAAGGATGATACACCAGTTCATTTCTGTGACAAATGTGGACTGCCTATTAAAATCTATGGGCGAATGGTAAGTATTAATAAATTAAATCCTGTGTAGAGGTAAGATTCTGAAATTTAAGTAGAGGTTTGTCGTTGTTTAATAATTAAGTTTGCAACATGTTTAAGTATGGCATAGCTAAAGGAATTTTTGGAATTTAATTGTTGTTTTACTGCTTTGGAATAGTTTCAGAATAGGATAAGACAGAACATGTTTACAGTGTGTTTCAGGAGCTTTTAACATCTCAGAACTGTGGTTGAAGTTTATAGAGTTTATACCTCTAGAAAGTGTAAGCAGATGTACATGCATACATTTATTGGGAAAGGGGCCAAAATTTTCAACACGCTCTCAAAAGGCTTTGTGAGTAAAAAAGGTTAACTGTTGCTTTTATGTAGTTAGTACTTAATAAATGTTCATTTTAAGATTTCACATGTGCTTTCTATGTCTAGGTCATTTTATGTTTACTGTTTTTTATGGAAATATATTCCAATTGTTAACTATCAATGTGTTAATTATACTGTCTTTGTTTACAGATTCCATGCAAACATGTTTTTTGCTATGACTGTGCTATTTTACATGAAAAAAAGGGAGACAAAATGTGTCCGGGGTAAGATGAGGTCATCTTTATATTTTAAGTAGTAGAGTTTGTAGTGAAATGATTTATAAACTAGGTTAAAGATTAAGGGGCCAGGGATTTAGCTCAGTGGTTCTGGCACCTGCTGCGCAAGTGCAAGGTCCTGAGTTCAATCCTTGGTACCAAACAAACAAAAAAAGATCAGGGTGTGATGTAAACAAGGGAAAGGATCAAATGTGTAGACATAGGTAAGGTTTCTGTGTGAGCCTGGAGTTAGCTTTAGCATTTCTAAAATAGGGCTAGCTGGCCACTCTCAATCAATTCAAATTGGCCAAAATGATGAAATCCACTTGCCATCGTAGACTTGGTTTTTATAAGCCCAAACTAATTATTATTGTATTATTATTATTTTCAGTGGTCTGCTATAGAGGTAGTACAGTGTGGTGTAATGATTGAGAATAGAGACTCTAGAATCAAAATTCTTGAGTTCAAATCCTTGTTCTGCCATTTATTAACTGACATAGGTTAGTTTTTTAAAATTTTAATTTGTAAAATGGGGCTAATAATTGTATCTCCCTCCCTGGGTTAATTTTAATTGTAAGTGAAGATAGATGATTGATAAATAGGTAGCTAGATAGGACCTGATATATAATAAGCACTATGTATTATAAGCTTTTATTACATTCACATGTTATTAGTATGTCTCGAGATATCAGAAGGACATTGACTCAAATTATGAGGAACTAGTCCTTCTTGGAATGGTCTTACAGTATCTAAAGTAGGGATTTTTATATTTATTTAGAACCCCAGATGAGGAAGGCTTTGGAAGGACTTAGAGAAGCTTCTTTGGAACAGCCATAGGCTTCCTAGATTCCTTATAACCTGTGCTTGAAGCTGCCTTAAGATTTAGTACTTAGGATTAAATCCAAAGTCCCATGAATGACAGGCAAGTGCTCTGTCACTGAGCTAAATTTCCCAGCCTGGATGACTCCCTTTTATGGTGTAGAAAATTGCAACACTGGGAGAGAAAGGAATGATTTGTTGATAACCCAATGACAGCTGATTTTTTTTTTAGCATATCTTACTAGCTTTTTAAAGAAACTATAAAACCTGGAACCATGGGTTTAAAGAATATTTATTGTGTAGAATTATAATTCAGAAGAGTTATGAAATTAGAAATACTTTGTGTTTTGGATGTTTTCTGAAGTACCTAGTTTTCTAATTCAGTGTCCATTCACTTTAGCAAATTTGATTTCTTCATTGGCAGAAAGGATTTCAGATGTGATGAAGTACTATGTAGGAGACACTAGAAAGTTCTTTTACATAAGTGTTGTGATGTTAATATTTAAAAGGACATCTAGTTTTAAAGATATTGAAGGTAACTTCAGTAAGCCGCTCACCTATGTGGTCCTTAGCTGTTTATATATATATATATTTTTAAATTTAATTTAATTTTATTTATTTATTTATTGGTACCGGGGATCAAACTTGGGACCTTGCGCTTGTGAAGCAGGTGGCGGAACCGCTGAGCTAAATCCCTGGCAGTCCTTAGCTGTTTTAGGACAGAAGCCTACCTTGATTAACAGACCCAGATCAGGAAGTGAGGAAATGGCAACCAAAGTTAATGGAAATACTATATGCTACTGCTGTTAGTCATCACCCAGATGTTAATTTGGAGATGTTTCTCAGTTTATATAGCAAAGTTGAAGCAAAATGAGATGTGTGCAGATTGCCACTAAAGGGAAGTATACTAGCATCAACAAGGAGTGCCAGCCTTATACCAAGGATGGAAAAGTAGACATAATTTAAAATAAATAGTACAGAATCATTTAATGCAGTATCAAATGACCTGACACACATTCAGTGGTGACTGTTTACATTTATACCTATGTAGTACTTAACGTGATTAAATATTGTCACTTGTATTGTTTCATTTAATCTTAAAAATACTCTTGTGAGTAAGGTGAAATACCTATAAAAACATTGTGGGTTAGGTAAAGTATGTATTTTAACCCCATTTTACAAATGAGAAAACAAACTCAAAGTGGTTAAGTGACTTCCAAATTACAGAGCCAATATTATTAGGGCCCATGTCTTTGGATTTCAAGTTCAGTCCTCTTTTCACTATGTCTGAAGACTTTAAAGGCAAGAATAGATTAAATATGAATGACGAACAGTTACTATTTTGACCCCAAGTCATTAAGAAAATGTTGAGTTAAATTTAGTTCTCTCATTTAGATAGGCAGGAAAATGTACCATGTTTTGGTACTAAATTTGAGAATTCAGAAAATCTCTGTCTTAAGGCACACTGAATTGAAGTTTTTATGTTAAGAACCCAGGGATTAGGAAGATCCTCGTTGTAGTCCTTGCAAGCATCTTCCACTTACTGTCTTCCACTTAGTATTGTTTGCTCAACAAATACTATTCACTAACGCTGTATAGGTTTGAATTGTTTGTAAGTGGCAGATTCTTTGCTTTATCCTTCTTGGATTTTTTTTTCCTTGAAAAAATGGATACAAAGCACACAGTTGTTTGGGAAAATTAGGTAAATTCTAGGTCTTGGGAGTTATAAGGTCTCTAAGACATACTCTGATAATACGATTAAGAGTTCTGAAGTTGACAGAAATGCCGATGATTAGTGTCTAAGACTAGACAGTGAAGATGATTACAGGTTCACTTAGAGTAACTACCTTTTAATTGTGAACTTTTGCTATGTGTTATATAAAAACTTTAAAGCAGCCATATTTTGAAAAAGACATACATTCTGTGTTTAGTAAATCAAATTTTTTTCCTCTTCTGATTTAGCTGTAGTGATCCTGTGCAGCGAATTGAACAGTGTACACGAGGTTCTCTCTTCATGTGTAGCATTGTTCAAGGGTGCAAGAGAACGTATTTGTCTCAGAGAGACTTACAGGCTCATATCAACCATCGCCACATGAGAGCTGGAAAACCTGTTACCCGGGCTTCGCTTGAAAATGTTCATCCTCCTATTGCCCCACCACCAGCTGAAATCCCTGAGCGCTTTATAATGCCACCAGACAAGCACCATATGAGCCATATTCCGCCAAAGCAGCACATCATGATGCCACCACCTCCTTTGCAGCATGTGCCACATGAGCACTACAATCAGCCACATGAGGATATTCGTGCTCCTCCAGCAGAATTGTCCATGGCTCCACCACCACCTCGTTCGGTCAGTCAGGAAACCTTTCGTATTTCAACAAGAAAACACAGCAATTTAATAACCGTCCCTATTCAGGATGACTCAAATTCAGGTGCTAGAGAACCACCACCTCCTGCCCCAGCACCTGCTCACCATCATCCTGAATATCAGGGTCAACCAGTGGTTTCGCACCCTCATCATATTATGCCTCCACAGCAACATTATGCACCACCCCCCCCTCCTCCACCACCAATAAGCCATCCAATGCCACATCCTCCCCAGGCTGCAGGTACTCCTCACTTGGTATATAGCCAAGCTCCACCTCCACCTATGACCTCTGCTCCACCACCAATAACCCCGCCCCCTGGACATATTATTGCCCAGATGCCACCTTATATGAATCATCCTCCTCCAGGACCTCCCCCACCGCAACATGGTGGTCCACCTGTAACTGCACCCCCTCCTCACCATTATAATCCTAACTCTTTACCCCAGTTTACTGAAGATCAAGGAACTCTCAGCCCTCCATTTACACAACCAGGGGGAATGAGTCCTGGTATATGGCCTGCACCAAGAGGGCCACCTCCTCCTCCACGAATGCAGGGTCCGCCTTCTCAAACCCCACTTCCTGGACCACATCATCCAGATCAGACAAGATATAGACCGTATTACCAATGATAATAGTGTTCTGAACTGAAGACATGAGGGAAAAAAATTAACTTACAGTCAGTCTTTTCATTAAGCTTTGACTGTTTTGGGAAAGAAAAGTACCTCTTACCAGGGTGGCTATAAAACACGTAGGGTCTTTTGTTTCTTAAAATGGTTTTCAATCTTGACCTTAGGATTGATTTCAAGTACTATACTGTAGTGCAGTTAAGTGGCTTGGTTGAGCACAGCTATATTTTACCAACTTTGATTCCCCCAGTGTGGTAAATTGACTCAGAAGTGACCATTTGTAAAAATGAAAAATTTTCATTGTTCCACTTTCATAAGTATTGGGTAAACCCAATGTTTAGTTTTTCTTGTGATACATTTTGTTAACCTGTGTAAAAGGATTAAATTTCAATATGGTTGTAAAAATGCTATTTTTATGTGAATTTAAGTACAGCCACATACTGTTTTTTAAAATCATATGTTTTACCACTAATTTCCCAAAGTTATAATAAAATCCTAAAAGTAGAATTTGCTGTAAAGCAGACTGTTAAATGATAGAGATTATTTCACATTTTATGCACTGAAATTTTGAGGTACAGTAAGTATATAATACACTTCACTTGGATGCCTTTTTGTGTTTAGGCAGCCTTAGGAACGCCAAAATACATCGGAATTCCAGTACTAAGATGTTGGTGATGTTAAAAGACATTCTGATTATTTGGGAAGAAACGGCCAAAGTAATACTCTACAGGCTCCAAGCCGGCGGGAGGGGGGTTCTGTTAATCATTGCTTTTTTTATTGAATGGTTGGAATCATATGATGCACCACACTTACTAATCTTACTTAACATTATTTTATAGAACTGTTCAAATGGTGTTATTTAGATGAAGTATTTTCTCTGTTCATTGTCTTAAGCTAAATATTTAGGGCTGATAGGCTTTATATAAATCCTCATTTCATGGTAGTTTAATTCTGTGCTTATGTGGGTTCTTTATTGGGTTTTAAACTAAAATTGAAATGCTTTGGAGGAATTTGAATAATGTATTAATGAGTTGTAATCAAACTAGCATTTGCTCAGGTTTCATTGCTTGTGTGAAGGGTTTTTCCTATAACTTGAAATTTAAAAACTATTATTTCCTGTTCCTTTTTTTGGTCAGGTGGTCTAAATTTGTAACATTTTAGCATTGCATCAATGATGATGACTACCAGATAATGTGAGATTGGAGAAGAGAAAAGTAATGACTAAATTGTGGATTTCAGTGCTTTATAGGTGCCTTTAGAGTCAGCTTTTGCATTATAGGGGCTTGTTACAGTCCAGCTAAGGTGACCACTTACAGTTTATACAGATCTCATATGTATAAATCAACATTCTTAGGATATTATATATCCTTTGAATAAATCCCTGTGAACTCTTCCTCCCTCCTAAAATGGTGCATAATATAAACATGATGTGTAGTATGCAGATATCATTTATTAGGTAGTTTGTAGTATATAAAATTAGAACATACTTCTTTTTCAACAAAGGGTTAACTGTTTGCTAATTTACCATTTTATTCTGTCAGGTACAGGCAAAACAAATTTTCATTTTGGATGATCATATACACAACTTTCGGAACTTAGAACAGTTAAAAATAATATAAATGGCCATTTCACTCTTGACTGGCCAAAAATAAGTAATACACTTTTTTCTTAAGTGATTTTTCACACTTAGCAGTTTGAGAGACTAGTTTGTTAATGCACTATTTCTAGCGAGCAATTCTTGTTATTAGGAGCATGAGAGTGAAATAGTGTGAAGTGTTGGTGGTGAGTGCTTCTATCATATTACTGTAGGTACTTGGACTGGTGCAAACTTGATTCCTTTTCATGCCCCTGTTTGGGAGCTGTTAAAATATTACTGTTAAAAATCCAAACCATTCTTTGCCATGTAATTAGAAAGTAGCCAAATTTACTTTAGAGCTTCTCAGCTGTTTATGAAGAGCTCTTCTGCTTTTATTGAAATTCATTAGCATCAAATGTAGTGAGAAACCACCTAGCCTGTGTTTTGGACAAAAAAAAAAAATCAGTATGATAAAATTCCATATGTTAAGAGAATTCTATAGGCTTTAAAAATGATTTAAGTTAGGTTTAATAAACATGTTATGCAGGGAGGCAGATCAGATGAATGTCTTGTAGCAGACAAAAATTTTTAAGTGGTGTTAGACTTGAATTCATCAGTTAATTGTTTGAACGAGGGTGGGTGGGTAGAAGGAAAACAAAATTACTGTTAGTGTTTCTTAAGGAAAAAGATGTGAATCCCAGCCTTATTTCAGGGAAACCTTTGAAGCTATGATGAACATAATTCTAAATGTATGTATGTTTCATTATATTGCTCTTAAGACTACTGAGGTGGCAGTTTTAATTCTTAAAAACAATAAAATGGAAGCATAAATACTATTTGCCTAGATGAATTTTTACGTAATGATGATACATTTGGGACAATGCAAGATTTTTCATGTTTATGGTAAAGCTTTCTACAGTAAAATTAGATTCATTAAAAAAGAAAACCCAGCAAGTTGATTATATTTCTTTAATGGCAAGTTTGTTCAGAGTATAATCAATATTTGGGGAAAGAGCCATTGCAAAGACCAGAACAAACTTCATTTTGCCCTGTAAAAACCACTCGCTGAAAATTGTGTACTGATCAGATGTAATAGATAGAAATATATTTGATCATATTTTAAAAACCTACAGAAAATGGCTATTTACTATAAAGTATACAGAACTACTTTAAAATTTTATTCAGACTCATTGAAGAGTATGTTTCATCTTTTTAAAAATGCTCTAGTCTTTAAATTAAAAAACAAATCTTACAAGTATGTGAAAAACAAAGTATCTAAAGCAAAAACACTTCTCAGATTACCCATCAGATTATTGTAGATTGATGTTAAGTGTAGATTGAAGTAACATAATCATATCCACACTTTATCTTGATTAAAATTAACTTATTTTTATTTACTGATTTGTAACCAGTTTGTTAAAATATGGCTTAGAAATCAAGCAGAATTGTTACAATAACTGTACAATCTAATACAATATTGGATATCCTCATCCCTAAAGAGGAATTTGGGTTAAGCCACGCAAAAATACATGGTAATGCTACTAATAAAAACTGATTTGGTTTTTTTTTGGGGGGGGGGTTGAGACAGGGTTTCACTGGCCTTGAATTTGCAGTGACCCTCCTGCCTCAGACTCCTGGGTGCTAGGATTTCAGGTGTGTGCCACTGCACCTGGATTCTGATTTGGCTATTTAAACACCTGTTTTGATTCATGGCCCCTCAGTTTATCATCATGAGAAAAAGTGCTTTAGGGTAAAATGCTTAATATTTTATTGCTAAATTTTTCCCATCTATCTTTAAAAATTATGGGTTTTTACACATTATAGAAGCAGGAATTTGACATGAACACTAAGCCGTGGCTTCATTTCTCATACAGGACCATCTTTTTGCAGAATCATTCATTCTAAAATGTTATTCTGTGACAATATCCTAATTCTCTTTTGTGCACTGTTGTCAATACTAACCTTCATATTGCATTTAAGCCCATTTTCTATTCTGCCTTTAAAATTGTTTGTCTTCAGATAGAAAAATGTTCCCTTTTGTTTTGCTTCTGGGTACTTTCAGAATCTTTTCTTTTTAAATTTGTACTCATTTTCAGTTACCCAAGTATGAAGTCTTGTGGAAAAAAATGTAATATTACAAATAAAGGTTAAGATTTCTTCAGCCACCATCCCAATGAGCTTCCTCACAACTTTGATCTGTGTATCTGTTTTAGTTACAAATCTGACAACTCAGTAGGTTCTGTGCCATAATAAGCATCCTAATCCATACTAAATGTATTTCATGACCTATATTCATTAGAGTCTGAGCTATCATCTAGAATATAAAGGTTTATTCATTCAAAATAATTGGGTTCTAGTCACAGTGCTAAGCACTTACTTAGAATACACAGACTAGAGACAATCCCTGAATGATTCTATGCCATGTTTGCAAGTGTGATAAAATCCTATGGAAATGAGAGAAGGGATAATGTGGGTAGTAGTAGTTTGTGATTGTAAATGGGAGGGGTACATTTGAGCAAGAATATCAAGTAGGTAAAAACCACCAACATTAAGCAGTGCTTTCTAAGCAAAATTCATGGCCTATAAAGGCCTTAGGTGGGGCTGCATATTTGAGGATTAGCAGATGGGTGAAATGAGGTGACAAGAATTGGAGGCTGGCTTAGCTTAGTGGTAGAGCCCTTGACAAGCATGCTTGGAGCCTTGAATTTGATCACTGGCACCACCACTACCACCACTGGACACACACAATAAAAGTAAGGAATTGGAACAGGGAAATCAGATCTAGGCATCATAAGATCGTTGACGTTACTCTCGTAGACATGGGAAGCCATTTGTGACATTCTGAACAAAGGGTAGAAATTTTGCCTGGCTCTGCAAAAGGATTCATTCTTTATTTGTGTTGGAGGCAAAGGTGGAAGAGAAGTCAGAAAGGTTTTAATTATATGAGATCATAGTGGTAGCATTGAAGTATTAAGTAGGTGATGTGTGGAAGGATAGACACATGCACACACAGAAAATTATGTTAGGTGTGGGGATGTAATGAACAACATAAGTATGATCCTTACCCTTGTGGAGCACATTGTTTTTTCTCCCATTTTTAAAAATTGCAGTTATTAAAGCATATTAATTGTACAGATTAATGGGTTTAACTGTGACATTTCCATACATATATTGTGCTTTGATCATATCTACCCTCTAATACTGTCTCTTCACCTACCCTCTTTCTTCCTTCACCCTGGTCTCCTTCCCTAATAGTCCCTCTTCTACTTTCAGCTCATTAAAGTTTTCACTTAGGACAGAAAATAACGTCATGCCTGTCTTTCTGTGTTTGGCTTATGTTTGCTTACCATGATGCCCTCCAGTTCCCTCCACTTTCCTTCAAATCACATGATTCTTTGTGGTTGAATAATCTGTTGTGTATCCCATATTTTCTTTATCCATTTGTCTGTTGACAGGCACCTAGGCTCATCCCATAACTTAGTTATTGTGAATAGTGCCACAATAAATATGGTATCCAGGTATCTCTTTTATATGCTGACTTCATTTTCTTTAGGTATATATGCAGGAGTGGAATAGCTGGATCATACTAGTTCTAGTTTTAGGTTTTTTTCTCTCAGTACCGGGGATCAAACTCAGGACCTTGTGCTTGAGAAGCCGGTGCGGCGCCACTGAGTGAAATCCCTAGCCCTAGTTTTAGTTTTTTGAGAAACCTCCATATTTATTTTTCATGGTGGATATACTAATTTGCATTCCCTTCAGTGGTGTATAGGATTCTTCCCCACCCCTGTCCTCACCAGCATTTAGTTTTTGTTTTGTTGATAATAGACAATCTGACTGAGGTGAGATGAAATCTCAGTGAAGCTCTGATTTGCATTTCCCTGATAGCTAAAGATTCTTTTTCATGTATTTATTATTTTGAAAAGTGTCTGTTCAGATCATTTGCCCATTTATTGATTGGACTACTTGTTCTTTTTGCAATTTTTTTAGTTCTTTATTTATTCTGGATATTAATCTGTCAGAATAGCTGGCAAAACTTTTCTCCCATTTTGTAATGTCATTTTGTTAATTAAATCTCACTTGTCAGTTGTTGGTTTTTTTTCCTGAGCTGTTTTACTATTCAGGAATATGTTGCCTGTGTCAGTATCTTGAAGTGTTTTCCTCATAGCCATAAATTTCTCTGTTAGTACTGCTTTTATTGTATCCCACTGGTTCTAGTATATTTCCATTTTTATTTGATTCTAGGAATTTCTAATTTCCTCCTGATTTCTTCAGTGTATGTTTTTGTCAATGAGGTGAGTTTCTGGGATGCAGCAGATTGTTGGGCTTTGTTTGTAATCTAATCAGCCAGTCTGATTAGAGAATTTAAACTATTTACATTCATGGTTATTATTGAAAGGTATGTTCTAGTTCCTGTCATTTTTTTTTTTTCTGGTTGTTTTGAGTACATCACTTCTTTCTTCCTTACCTATCTTAGGGTTTGATGATTTACTGAATTGTGTTTGATTCTTTCCTAATTGTCATTTATCTACTCTTCTAGGTGAAGGATCCTTCTAAGTATCTTCTGTAATTTTGTGTTTCAGTAGCCATGAATTCCTTAGCTTATGCTTATCTTGGAAGGTCTTTATTTTTCCTTTGATTCTGAAGGATAACTGCTGGATATAGTAATCTAGGTTGGCAATTACCTTCTTTCAGGGATTGAAATATATCATTCCATGCCCTTCTTGCCTTTAGAGTTTCTGCTGAGAAATCTGTTATTCTGATGGATTTACCTTTATAAGTTACTTCATTGAAGTTTGCAATATTCTTTCTTTGTTGTGTACTTTTGGCAGTTTACTTTTTTGGCAGTGTACTTTTGGCAGTATGTTGGGGAGAGATTTTTTTCTGGTCATGTCTATTTGGGGTTCTAAGTGCCTCCTGTTCTTGTATATCCATTTCTTTCCCAAGATTTAGAAAATTTTAAACTATTATTTCATTGAATAAGTTTTCTATACTTTTAGCCTGCAGTTCAACTCCTTCATTTATTCTAATTATACATGTTTCATCTCTTTACTGGTGTCTTTTAGATTTTGTGTACTATTTATTCCAATGTTTTTCCTTCACTGTCTGAATGTGATAATTCATCAACATTGTCTTCAAGCCATGTACCCTTTTTTCCCACTTGTTCCAGTCTATTGGTGAGTCTTTCAACTGAAGTTTTGTTGTTGTTGTTTTGTTTTTTTACTTATTGAGCTTTTAATTTTCATGATTTCTTCTTTGTTCTTTTTAAAAATCTGTCTCTTTATTGAATTGCTCTTTCATATCCTGCATTGTCTTTCTTAATTTATTCATCTGTTTATTTGTATCTTCTTTGAATTCATTGATCATTCTTTTGAAGTGTTTTGCAAGCATTTCTTCCACTTTGATATGACTACAATCAGTTACTGGAGTATTATGAAGTTTTAGGAGTGTCATGTTGCTTTGTTTTTTTCATATTTCTTTTTTTCTATGTTGAGATTTGTGTATGTGTTAGGAGGGATATCTCTTTCAGAAACATTTGTGTTAGGATTTTAGTGAGCAGCCTTCTCTTGATGATGTGCTGTGGGATATTGGTTTGTTTTGTAATGTTGAAATTAATTTGAGATAAATTTTATAAATTAGCTTCCCTGTGGGTTTTTTGACTGTGCCAAGTGGGTTTTGAAACAATGTGTATTGTGTTGGGGCTTGAAGGGATCATGCTTTCTGTAGGTCTTGCAAGAGGGAGTTCCTCTGGTAGTTCAGATAGGTGCACTATAGACAGTGTACGTAGTATATGGGGTACACTCTCTGTGGTTATTCCTCCAGTTCTGTCAGTAGTGCATGGTCTGAAAGGTATGGAAGTGGCCTATGCTGAGATCCCTCATAGGTGCAGTGTATGCAACACTTGTGTTAGTTCTCTCTGCTGTTGCTGAGGGAGTAAGACTGTCCAGGTACACGGTGTCAGCTCCCCCGAGGTGTGACTACAGGGGACCATGTTGTTAGTTGGAGATGTTCTCACCCCTGTTCTGTAAGTTGAAGTATCTTTCAGGGTTCAAGCAGCCCTAGGTTGTGGCTAGAATAAATGCAATTTCATTGGGCTGGGTTGTATGTAGCTCAGTGGCAAAGCACCCACCTTACCATCACTATCACCAAATAGAAAGATGAAAACCACAACATAAAAACAAACTGGGTATAGAAATATAGTAAAAACAACTGCAGCACCAATAACAATAGAAAAAGAATAATATAGAATACAATTAAAAGCTAAAAATTATTAAATTTTATATAAAGAACATGAACAAGGAAAGTAAAAGAGGGAAAGGGAAAGGAAAATAAAATTTTTAAAAGGGAAAAATTGGGAAGAAGGGAAAAAATCCAATTAAAGAATAAAGGAAAGAAAGAAAAACAGTAATGAGAAACAACAAAATCAAAAATTCCTCCCAGCTAAAGTGGTTGGGCTGGAGACTCTTTGTTTCCAGGGCATCTAATGTTGGAATCCACCAGGTATGGAGGGGGAGTAGGCTGCAGCAGAAACCAGTTGTGGTTCCTCTCAGCTCCACCTGGCATTTCTTGTTGGGTAGATTAGTGGTGTGTTGACCACACCAGGACTGTGCTCTCTCAAGCCTTTTTGTGTGTGTACTGAGGGGCATGACATATGTCCAAGCTGTGTTGTGTCCCTGGAAACAATCAAACCATTGCATTCTGCACTGGAGGGGTGCCACAGAGCCAAATGAATTGATCTTATCACCCTCAGACCTGGCCCCAGGTGAAGCCAACATGTGACTAGTCTCATTCTTCCTCACAGAGATCAGGACTATGGACCACAGCCCTCCAGTGCCTGCCCAGTCCCAGCTTGCTCTCCACTGCTCAAACCTGTCAGGGCAATTGTGAAACACTTCCTCTATCCACAACTTCCTCATGAGGCCACCTCCCACCCAGTCCTGCAAGGGGGTGGCCCTGTGGCCCCTGGATTATGATTGTTCTGTGTTTTCTGATACCCAGGGAAGTTTAGTTTCTAACAACAGGAGCCTTCTCAGGATGGACCCTGGGTTATGGCACTCAAAGTGCTTGCTAAACCATGTACAGTAATGAATCTCTAAAGTGTGCTTGTCTCTTTCAGACCACATCCACAAAGTGGATAGAAAGCTGGTAAGAACCATGGGGTTTGTCCTGCAGTTAGGACTGGTGCGGGGCTGGACTGCTGTTGTCGTCAGGGTTATCTGTACTCTCCAGCATATCTTATGCTTGCAGTGTTGGGTTCCCCACCTGCCCAGGCCAGAGAGCCTGAGTTGAAGTTGCCAGTTGCCTTCTACTTCCCTCTGAGTTGCCTTTCTCCTTTTCTTTGCTGTTTGGGATTTTCCATCCTTTGTTTATCGGTCCCAGAATTCTTCCTCTCAGTCTCTCCTTGGAATAGTTTTCCCTCTATTGCCCTGACTCTTCCCACTCACCATCTCCTAGGAGCTCACATTCTAACTCATCTAGGAATTGCCCTTCCTAGTCATCCCTAAATTTTCCTCAAAATTTTTTCTTACATATTTTTTCAAGGTATAATGGCAAGGAAAACAATGTGTACTATTAAAAATATGTTACCAGGGTGCAAATAAAAAACAGTTACCAAAATATACATGCAAAGTCATATTGAGAAGTATTAAATGTATTTAATTCTGAAGATAAGTAATATATTTTCTAATAGCTTTTATGGTTATATTTAATATTTTCTGATTATACTTTTCCATATTAGTCACTTTGGAAGAAATTTATATTATTCCTGATTTGAGTCTTGCCTTTTAATAGGCCAGTTTTTATATGGGTTTTAATTTCTTTTGAGAAGTAATGTTTCTTAATGATTCAAATCCTTGCTTCTGGAGTTAGATTTTCTTTTCTTTCTTTTTTTTTTTGGTACCGGGGATCGAACTTGGGTCCTTGTGCTTGCGCAGCAGGCAGCAAAACTACTGAGCTAAATCTCCAGCCCTGGAGTCAGATTTTCTACACAGATTTCTCCAACTATGTTACTTAGACTAATTATTGGTCCTCTGTGAGCCAGTTTTACTTTACTTTCCTAAAAAGTGGGGGTAATCATAGCACCTACATTATGAGGGCCATTTTGAGATGTTTTTATATTATAGTTAATACAATTTCTGGACAGTTTTTTTTTTCAAAGTAGTTTGAAAAATGGAGTTGTCATTCGTGGAGGCGGGAAGGATGCTGGTAGGGCACATTAAGGGAGCTGGTCAGCAGATGAGAGTCTACATGATGAAATCCTGCTGGAGATGCCAAACAGTGAACTAATTATCCCTCTTCTCTATTGCGGTTCATGTAGGATTGAGTCCAGCTCGCATTTTAAACATTTTATTTACATTTTGAAGTAGTAAGTTAATATGTTAGGCAGGAGCATGTATAATTGTATTAGTCACTTTTCTTGATGCAGGGACAAAAATTTGACACTCAAAATTTGCAGGAGGAGAGGTTTATTTGGGCTCACAGTTTCAGTCCAGGGTTGGCTGGTTCCAAGGCAGAAACAGCATGGCCGAAGGGCTGAGTGGAGGAAAGGTGGCAGCCAGGAAGCAGAGAGAGGAGGAGCTGGGGACAAGAATACACCCTTCCAGGTAACACATCGGTGACCACCTTCAACCTGGCCCCGCCTCCTAGCAGCACATTCAGCTATGAACTCATCAAGGGACAATCCACTGAGGACTATGGCGCCCCCAAGATACAGTCACCTGACAAACACATGAGGCTTCTGAGGACATTTTAGATCTAAACCACAACATATATAACAAGCTTAATTCTTTTCTTTTTAAGAGCTTAATTATAAAATGATTTTTAATTTAAACTGCTCAATATATATAAGCTTCAAATTTTTAACTAATGTATTTGCCTTTCCCAGGTTATTCAGTCTCCTAGCTTCTTCCTCTCCCTTTTATCTTGCCCTGGCTTATATAAGTTGATATGTTTTATGGTTTTTAACCTCTTTCTAAATCAGAGATCAGAATTCTGTACTACTTAATTTTCAGAATTTGCTCTGAGGCCCCTATTACTCAATACATAGCCACCTTAGAGGCCTTGGAGAAAAGAAACACTTAAGGATAAAGGTAGAAGTGCATCTCTAAGATGTTAAGGAAGAACTGGAGTGCTTGTGCCTCTTCCCTGTGATTTTGTTTGGTCAGAATCTACAGGGCATCTTTGCCTGATAAGACGGAGACAAAGCAACAATCCTCTATGAAGCTTTTGCCCCACTCCTAAGCCAAATAAACACTTAAATAGGCTCTGATTTTCAATTTCTACTCTATGCCTTCTATGAAGGAAAAGTTCTTACCCTGAAATTTACTGGGCATCCTAAGAAATGTGGTTTTTTTTGGTACCGGGGATCGAACTTGGGACCTTGCGCTTGCAAGGCAGGTGCCGGAACCAATGAGCTAAATCCCCAGCCCCCTGAGAAATGTTTATGTTGTATTTTGCCCCCTAAAATCCACAGTGTGCACAAGACTCTATAAAGTTTCTGTGACTCAGGTTGAAAGACTGTGTAAAGTGTACTGATATTCTAGTTTTTAATTAAGATCGACTATATAAATAACCTTTATTATACCTTTCTGTATTTGGGCTTAATCCAGTAGACAAACCCTCTCGGTAAAGACACTGTTCACAAAGGATGAAAGGGCACTTTGACAATAAATGTTTAGAGTAAGTCTAAAACAACTGGCACAGATTTCCCATTGACAAACTGATTTGATGTTTAATAGAAGGGGTTGAATCTTTTTCTGATGGTGCCGATGCTTAATTTCTAATTGTTACATGAATAAATACAAATCTGAACCAAAAATATGACAGTGAAAAAGAGGAACCTAAGTGCAAAATGGAGCTCGAGAGTCTTTATTCTTCCTGTGAGTTAAAAACAATGACCAAAAGTGAAAAAAAGTGTCATTCTTTTCCCTACCATGTTTTCTTTCCTCCCGTTGAGACTAGGAAGAATTGGCTACCCATGACAAGTTACCCTCTTAATTTTTACCTTTCTTATGCAATTTTCATATCAAAAGGGAGAAAATGAGGAGTTGCTTCAAAAAGTAGTTATGGTTATAGACACGGGATTTAAAGGATTGTGTCTAAATCTGGATGGAAAGTCAGATGCTTTAACAAGCTGGAGTAATAATCATAGTCTGGACAAAGATGTCTCATTGCAAGAACTTTGTTAGGTTCTCATATAGCAATTTTCCAGTCAGACCACCATAAAAGGGACCCACAGCATATATTTCAGAAAGTTAACAACAATTTTAATAAAAGGAGACACATATGCTGTACAACTGAATTTTTTAAAAAATGGAGATATATTAGCATGACCTGTATAAATTATGAGATTCAAAGCTGTGGATAATACAAAGCATTATGCATGTAAGTCGTGACTTGGATGGAAATCTGTGCTACAAAAATACATATAAACAAAATAATTTTCTTTTTTCATAAATCTACAAGGTATAAAATTAAAAATATTTACATAATTTCATACTAGATATGTGATAAATATACCATGTTAGAACAATCTCATTCCAAAGTTTGAAACATAATTCTGTTAAGTAAAACTATTCTTCATTGAGCCGGGGATTTAGCTCAGTGGTTTCACCGCCTGCTGCGCAAGTGCGAGGATCTGAGTTCAATCCCCGGTACCAAAAAAACCCCTCAAAAACAAACAAACAAAAAATGCTTAATACAACGTATGACCTTATCAATAACTTTCTGGGTATAAAGTTGTTTTTCACGTGACAGATGAGGATCCCTCTGAATTATATTTTTATTAGAATTTCGTTTCAATTGGTACCTGGAAGAAGACAGAAATTTCTTGTTTAAAAAGGTTATGCCCCTTTCAATAATCATATCCTAGGAGACAGAATTTACCAGTCATCGATAAGTCTTTTGTCTTGAATTTTAATAAGACTTTTTCCATTGCTACTTAGGACAGATCCATGAGTTATCATGTTTAATGTGTGTGTGTGTGTGTGTGTGTTTTACAGACTTAACCAAGATAAAAGCCAGTGTTTTGCAGCAATATGTTTCTTCACATACCTCTCAGGGTTCACTCAAGTTCCAAGGGGCCACATGAGCTGACTGGGCACATCTGGCTTTTCCTTCCAGGCACTACTGTAGTCTGTTCACAACTGTGGACTTATCTTTCTCTTAGCAAAGCTAGGAGCTGGTGTTAAATGGTTCTTTTTTTCAAGATGAAGAAGCTAAGTTTTGGTATGGTGCTGGCTACATTCTGTCAGTCTTGGTTCTAAAGTTTGGATCAGACATCAGATTTAACCGCTGTTCTTTTGCTTTATTCCCTAGTACTCAGTGACAATTCTAAATCCACGTGCTGGGGAGAGAGTTTCTGGTATGAACCTTTTTTTTAACAGGGTACACAGGCAAGGTGCTGAATTTGGGTTTCTCTGGAAGCCGGTGCTGAGAAGCAATATCAGTATTTCTCAGGTCTATCTAACTTTCTGAAATGACCTTTTCTTTCGTTTTTTGGGGGGGGGAGGTACCGGGGATCGAACTTGGGTCCTTGTGCTTGCGGGGCAGGCGGTGGAACCACTGAGCTAAATCCTGGGTCCTGAAATGACCTTTTCATTTGACCTTTGGTACGTGATATCACTCTTTGGTCCAGGGTTATCTTATGGTCTGCTTGCCTGCCTGCCTGCTTGCCTGGCTGCCTCCCCTCTCCCCTCCCCTCCCCTCTCATTTTCTTCCCTCCCTCCCTCCCTTCCTCTTTCTTTCCTTCTCTTCTTTTTTATGGTACTGGGAATTGAAACCAAGACCCTTGCACTGAGGTACATTCCCAGCCTATTCATTCATTTATATTTCGAGACAAGGACTTGCTAAGTTACTATGTTGCCCAGGCTGACCTCAAATTTGCAACCTTCCTGCTTCTGCCTCCCATGGCGCTAGGATTACATGCAAGTGCTACCATGCCTGGCTGGTTCTTTGTTTCTAATCTACGTTCCCCTTTGCTATTCTTCGTTTACGATATGAAGAGATCTTCTTTGTATATTTTCATAAGGATTGAAATAATGAATGTGTGCACCTATCATTTACCTCCCCTACAACAGAAACCTATTTTAATTTGAGATTCTGCTTTTCCCAAATGACAGACATTGTCTTAAAGGACTGAATGTGCTAGAAATGAGTGTTCTAGAATGAAATGAATCTATCCAGTTAAATGATTAACTGTCAGCTCATTCTAGTAAGGAAGGAGAGGAATTTTATGCCGAGTTAGACAATGTACTAGGGATTTCCCATGCACCTGCACATAGGGAGGTGTTAGTTTCTCGGCTCCATTACTAATTCTCTGTAAATGGAATTTTTTCTTTTACTAGTATGTTTATTTTTCTCAATTCCTTAAGAGATCAGGTGGCACTGTTTCAGTTTTCTAGGGATGAGGCACAGAGGCTCAAACAAGTACAGGGCTCTCTGTAATATGCTGGAAGAAGCCTTGCTACTTTTAAATTTGTTTTTACTGTGATGTCTGGACGAAGATAAGCCTGTTGAAGAATCTTACCTGACATTCCCGATTACGTAATCCTCCATTTGTATTTATGGTAAAGTCAAATTTCGTTTCTTTTTGCTGAGAAAAAAAGAGAATGAAAATACAGATTAGGAACCAATTTTCTAAAATGTCGAAACACAAAGGAAACTTGAAGAAATGCAGATGATTACAAATGTGAATGTCATCAATGAGCTGGTACCTGGCTGGGGTTAAACTTTGAAGTACTGTAATCTTTCTTCATCAAAATGTGCAAAACAGCGTCATGGATTGTTAAGAAAAATATTGAGTCTTTGACTTCATCATCAAAAAATTGACACCGAGCAAGCTTCTCTATGAAATCATCTGAAGAGGAAAAAAGAACCATAATACTGAGGAAGAAGTAATTGTTTGGTCACAGATTTCCTTGAACATAGTAATTTGATTTTGCATTTGCAAATGTGCATTTCATTGACACGTGGTGAAGTATCTGTGAGTTGTGGTGGAACAATACCTATGTATCATTGGTGCAGTATCTTCTGGGATGAAAGGATAACTCTCTAATAAACATACATATGCCATTATCTAATGTGAAAAGGAAAGACTTCAAGTGAGAAAACCTTAAGTACTTCTTAGAAGAAAATAAATCAATTTTTATTTAAACAGGAGCCTAGTGAGTTAATCTCCCTACATCATGACTGGAACATCAAGCATTTCTGATTAAAATTGCAATTCTTTCCAAATTGAAAGCAGGCTTTAAGATCCTTGATATCTTTTGTGGTTTGTGATTGCCAGGCCTATTATTTTAGCCGTTTCTTTACTGTAGCCCATTTTCCCAGAACTGCTGGATTTTATCAGAAAACATCTCCCTGTAGGCACTGACCAGCACTCATTTGCACAGATCATCCAACCAAATACAACCTCATGCAAAGTTCTGCCCGAGTAATAAAAAGGGTCAAAAGGTAAATGAAAGCTGAATCTCCTCTCTATGGATACTGGGGAAAGACTTGACTGAGCAGACAGCATTTTATAGTGCCTAGGATTTGGAGAAAGATAGAGGAAGAGAAGGAATAAAAGCACGGAGGTGGTCGAGGCTGTTCACAGGCAAGCTTTCAACAGAAGGGTGACCAAGAGAAAAGGAACAGGAAGGAAGGTAATAATGTCAGTTTGACTGAGAGGGTTGCCAGGTAGCAGAAGCAGCAGGAATAGGCACTTTCAAAAAGGTCTGGAGTGGCCTGGAGTAACCTCAGCACTCCTGAGGCAGGAGGATCATCATGAGTTCAAGGCTAGCCTGGGCTACAAGGTGAGAGTTCAGGGCAGCCTGGAATACATAGGGGAAACTTGTTTCAAAACAAAACAAAAACAGAGAAAGATCTAGGGTGGTGAGAGGGGAAGGGATAAAATTGTTTAGTAAATTAAGGTGTTGGTGAGATCAAGAGAATATTTTTAATTGCAAAGAACATTTAAAACTAGAGTACATCTGGGCTGCGGATTTAGCTCAGTGGTTCTGGCACCTGCCTCGAAAGCGCAAGGTCCCAAGTTCGATCCCCGGTACCAAAAAAAAAATCCTAGAGTACATATTGAGGTTTTAGGGATAGGAGCCAGTAGAGAAAAGATGAGATACCAATTCCTGCCCCGTTGAGGGACCTGTGTATCTCTCGTCACCTCTCCCTAAAATGCTCTTCCTTAAGATGCTGTCCAAGTTGCTCCCACAGTTCACTGGTCTCCACTCACACATCGAATTACTGCACCTCCCTGACCCCCAGTCTGAAGTCACAGCACTTTTACCCTCTGTGCTCATCATGGCACTATTTGGAATATGGTTTTATTTGCTAATTACATGGCAGCCTTCCCAAATGACTGTTAACTTCCTGAGGGTGGAGGCTTGTCATTCACTGTAGCATCCACACCCAGAACAGTGCCTGAGATAGGGGCTAGGAAGTCTTTACTTATCTGTCCTGTCCTAGGAACAGAGCAAGAGACAGGGAAGAAAGTAAACAAGACCAATCCCTGCCCTGGAAGGGATGGCAGTCTAGCAGGAACACAAACACTGAACTGCAGAATAATGTGATGGGCATGTATTCTGCAAATGCAAGCAGTCTTGAAGACCCAGTGCTCTGCCTGAGGAAGGAAGGACGTTTTCACAGTTATTGTTGAAAAAAATTCTTGAAGGAATTTTCTAGCCAGAAAAATGAGATGTGAGGTCATTCTAGGGCAAGACAAGGACACTATGAAGTTAGAAAGGCCTTCCAAGGACCTGGGTGAGACAGGACAAGGGTCTGGGTTAAGGCTATAAACACGGAGAGGAAGAAACTGATATGAGAGGAAGAGGGAAGAAGAGAAGAAATTAAATTGGTTCTGGAGTTTCTATTTTGGGGAACGGGGTGAGTGGTGATGGGGTGATTCAAATGGGAAAGGAGAAGGAGCAATTTAAGGAGTGAGAGTCATATAGTTTTGGATGTATATGTCTGAGGGGCCTGGGGCATCCAGAGAGTTGAAGACATGGGTCTGCAGCTCAGAAGAAAGGTCTGCACTGAAGGTATAGTTTGGGGATTCATTAACATGTACATATGTTTGATATGTAGGAGTCTGCCTAGAAAGAGTCCATGGAATGAGAATTGTAGAATTTAAGATTGAAGCCAAGGGAATACTGCCTCTAAGGGGTGGGAGAGGATCCAGTGTCAGAAACCGAGAATCAGAAGTCAGGGATGAGTCAAAGGAATGGAGTTGTACCAGTCAGGGAGGGAGAGGGTCTCAAAGACAATGGTGAAAGCCAGATGGGGTGGCGCACACCTGGAATCCCAGCACTCGGGGAGACTGGGACAGGAGAATTGCAAGTTTGAGCCCAGCCAGGGTAAGTAACTCTGTGACTTAGTGAGACCCCCATCTCAAAATAGTAAAAATTGATAAAAATTTTTTAAAAGGGCTGGGGATGTGGCTTAGTGCAAAGGCCCTGGGCTCAATCTCTAGTATTGCAAAAGAAAAAAAAAAGACAAATGTTAAAGAAAAGCCAAATATTCAAGTAGCTCAAGTGGGAGGAGGCTGAGCGGTAGGTGGTTAATCTCAGCACACCGGACATCACTGATAACCTTGACAGAGGCGGCTTCACCAGCAGGGTGGGGCGAGAGCCAAGTTGTTAGGAATGCAAGGGAGTCGAAGAAGAGAGATGGAGAATAAGACAGCTTTTTCAGCAAGTGCAGGTGAAAACCAGTTAACATATTCACTCCTTGCTGCTTCTCAAATGAGCACTCGAATCGTAAAATTCATTTAATGATATATCAACACAACTAAAACACAAAGATGCTATTTCCATAGGAATTTTTAAAACTCAAATTCTCCCCTGGTGATCATATAAAATACCTGTCCTCTGGAGAGCCTGCTTACTTTGAGCACTGGCAGTGAGCTAACATGACTGACAGAACATAAAATAAACATAAAAGAACTTACCGTCGGTTCCAACAATGTACACATCTACATTGACCCTTATAAATTCTTGCAAGATCTGTCGAAGAGAAAGTACATCTATTTAGGGAACAGTTTTCCTTGTCAGAAATGTAAAGAAAACTATCATAATTATACTTTATGAGTGATATATTACTTTCAGAACCTTTTACATTTTAAAAAGAGATAATAGTAGAAGGAGACAATGAAGTTAAAAACAAGACCCCATGTCAGAAGGAAATAAGCCCAGAGGGAAGAGCCCATCTCAGTAAGCAGTTAAAAATGATCATTCTTGGGACAAGCATTATAAGAAAATGTTCTGCCTCAGACTCACAAGATCAACTCTGATTTAATTTTAACACTCTATAGGGATGACTGGGAGTAGAATTTTCTATCTACATAAAAGTAAAACAAAAATCAATGCAAAACAAATCGAAACACTGTGGCCTATATGTCTTTCATTATTCCTGTCCACAGTGACTGGAGGTATCTAGCATCTCTATCCAGTTTCCTGGTCTTTAGGCTTACAAAAAAGGTCAGCAGTGATATACATAATATCACATAAGGTAAAAAATGTCGCTTTCACTGTTAATCAGGTTAGATGATCATTAATACTGTATCATCACCATCATCAATAATGAGCCAAGAACTAGGGCTTAAAAAATAAAACAAAAAAACCTGTCAGAGTCTCTATCCTTTGTGCTAGCTTGCTATGGTTTTTAAACGAAAATGCGTATTTTTTTCTCATGGGCTAAAATAAGGGGAGGGGGAGCAAGAAAGAAAAGGAAAAAAAGCAAGAAATATTGAGAGGTATACAATGTTAAAAATTTTTTAAAACAAGCTAGAAGAAAACAAAACTGACTGTGTCTTTTAATTTTGGGTTCAGTTAACCCATATTTGATAGATCTTATCATAGGTCAGCTTCCTTAGGCAGATTTCTGGGAAAACCTAAGAGAAACACAGGGAAAAGTAGAATTTCTTAAATTTTCTTTATATCTGCAGGAAATAATTTATTTTAGAAATGCTGACAAAGCTATGGAGAAAGAGTGGACCACACCCTGATTGTTTAGTTCTGTTTTAAATCACACATGACATTTATTCTTTCATATATCTATTATTATTATTATTTTTTGGTACCAGAGGTCGAATTCAGGACCTTGGGCTTTCGAGGCAGGCATTGGAACCACTGAGCTAAATCCCTGGCCCTCATATGTCTATTTTTTAGGTATATATTTAAATAGCCAAGTGAAAATCATCAGGTTAAAAGGGATAAGGATAAAAATAAACAGGTTTCTTTTTTTTCTTCTTCCCAGATCTTCTCTGATTTCAGGATAATTTGGATACAGTTTTCGCAGTTGGAAGCATCCAGGTTGAAGCTTAGATTGGATAGGAGTGTCTGCGTAACTGGCTATTAGCAAGTTTAGCACATGGGGTCATAAATTTGGTTGCCTTCAAAATTGTGTGCAGTCTCATTGAAAATGCACTTTTAAAGAGTTCACTGGACCCTCTGTGCCCTCCACCCCTTTTATGGGATAGTGTAAGATTAAAATCTACTTCTAATTACATGGGTAAATACAGCTTTTACTGTTAGTTAAGAATTGGTTGTAAAAAAAAAAAAAGAATCGGTTGTTTCTATTAAGGAAAACCAAATTACCTCTTTGAGACCCCTCATTGAAGAAACGTCAAGAAAGGAAACTGCTGAAAAATCGAGAATGAGGCTGTGGAGGCTGATTTTGGGAACCACAATGTTGAGAGGAAGATCGGCATTCCAGTCTATCTGGAAGGGTAGATCTGCTGTATCGATCGGCTGATCCAGTTCTTCCATTCGGTTGTTGTCTAACTCTTCGTCGGAATCTCTGAAGCCATCAGCGGTCCATATAAATCCTTTCTGTAGGAGAGAATAACAACTGTGATGGTTCCAACTGTGAAAATTGTGCGTGTCCAGGGAGCTTTTGAGCACAGATCTAAAGTTGGTCAAGTACTGGAATGGTAGATACTTGTATTTCATTCTCTACCAAGCCAGGACAATAAAGCGTTGAGGGAGACCCTCAAAGAAGTCCTTTAAAAAATAACATATGTTAAGCACCCGGAATATCTTCTTTATCTGGGATTTCATTCAAAGGAATGTAACTAACACTTTGAATTATAGTTTACTAAGCTTTTAAGCTATAATGTGCAGAAAAGTGATCAGGAAACTCACAGGAGTCACTTGCAGCAGGCCTTGCTTCTGCAGTTTTCGGAGTTTCTTCAAAGCTTTGTTACGCTTGCGTAAAATTCGAAGTGGACTAAAGCCAACCTGAAAAACCCATTGCTGTGTTAGAAGAGTAGTGAATATTGTTATTTACATAGCACAATTCTAAGAACTGGGATGGGTTGAGGGATAAGGACATGTCGTAAGGATATTTGTGATAAAATTGAAACTTGGTTTAAAAAACACCAGCCACATCATGTCAGACTTAGGTTTGCATACCAATTTAATTGTTAGGGCTCACAGCAGCCCTGTGCAAGGCACGAAGTAGGCCAAAGGGCGTGTTTTGAGAGTACTGAGCTTTTGTTCCTTAACTTTAGAGACTGCTTCCTGGTCATCTTTACCAACACTCTCAGTATTTATTGTTAAATATTCATTTACAATTGCCGTTCTGAATATCTTCAAGAATGCAGTCATATATTAAATGTTCCCCTGTTGTTTCTGAAGTTGATGCCCAAAGAAAATCTATAGGATAATGTCTATTAAAAATCAGCCACTTAAAATATTTTGGTAAATCTTTTTTACTTTATAGCAGAATTTGATAAAATCTTTTCTGTTGGGCCTCATCCAAAGTGGCTTATTTTCCAGCCTAAAAGGGGACAAAACATATCACAACACTGACACGACCCAGCCTCAATATACGTGAAGCCAGTGACCTTTTTGCTAAAGAACAAACACATGTTCCCAGATAGTAGAATTAAAAAAGAAAGGGCTGGGGATTTAGCTCAGTGGTTCTACCGCCTACCTCGCAAGCACAAGGTCCCAAGTTCGACCCCCCATACCAAAAAAGAAAGTTGAACAACCCCAAACCTTACAGCATCAGTAAGTTTCTGCTTAAAGAAACGAATATTCGCAAAGTAGATTGGAGATGGGCATCTGAAAATTTTCACTCCTTCTGGCTCATACATCTAAAAGGCAGAGAAGGGGCATTCGTGGTGTCTACTAGATTCATATTGATATCACTTAGCAAGTAAAGACAAAAATGAATCTGCCTTACCTCAGAATAATCCTTTCTATTCTTATAGATATTGCTCCTTCCAATATTAGCCAGTGTGCTGCATTTTGGACTGTAGGGAAACAAAACAAAACAAAACAGGTTAAGTAAAGCACTTATGCATATTTGTTAGGCCTATAAGGCTAACACTGATTTTCTTCCTAGCAAGTCAACACAAGCTCCTTTTGTAAAATTTTGAGGAATCATCATGCTTTTAAGACCCGGAGGGCAAGCACTGTATTATACTTATCTTTGGGTGCTCACAGTCCTAAACTAGTGCCTCCAATCTACTACCTCAGTTTACAAAGCACTTCCATAAGCTTTTGCCACTTTGAATTCCACAGTTATTCAGTGAGGTGAGACAATATGAGTACCCAGTTGTGTGGGTGAGGAAGTGGAGGAGTAAAAGGACTTCCCTATATGACTATTCTGTGTGACTCTCTGTTTAATAGGTCCCCAGTAAAGAATGTAATAAAATATGACTAAGAGTGTAAGAGCAATACCAATGTATTTCAATGCAATGTAGTCCATCAGTCAGGGAATAACTTTAAGTGAACAACTTCTGTTCTAGAACATTTTAGTACCCAAGGAGAGTTATTTCTCCTTGTAATCACATCATGCAGTCCAACACAGAGTAGCCACATGGTGGCTATAACAAAGATTTAAAAATTAGGAAGATGCTTGAACTAGATGACAGTTAAGAATTCCAATATTTTGTGTAACTTCAGGACCTAGAGGAGCCTTTGACAAGTTCTCTAATCTCCCTCCATGCCTTTTCTTTTTTTGGGTACGGGAGATTGAACTCGGGTCCTTGCACTTGCCGTACAGGCAGCGGAACCACTGAGCTAAATTCTCTGCTCCCTCCATGCTTTTAAGGTGGGAGTGCAGTTTAGTGAGGGAGAGCCCTTCACTAGACCTGGAGAACTCCACAATCTTCTCCATATCACATTCCTGTGTTTGTCAAGTCTAAGGGCAAGGAAATGAAACCTGCTTAGGGTAGAATTACTTCTGGTTTATGGGTAGGCAAATGGATTTCTAGGATTTTTTGGAACTGGTGTCAAAACCCAAGAGTAGGCTTGTCCATGGGTTGGTGGTCCCAAACTGGGTCTTGAAGTGAGCCTCTTGATTAAGGGTATACTGGCCAGTGCTGATAGGTGTTCATGCCCTTCAGCCAAATTACTTTTTACTCTTCTGATTGGGCAAGTCAGGCTACAGGGCACACTGAACACTCACAATTGAGTCCTGAATACGATGGTTAAGAGCTGAAATGCCACGCTTGCTGCCAGGCCTAACCCAAGTCCCAGGACAATGGCAAAGATGAAGGTCATGATCCAAATGAACTGTGAAAAGAAAGCAACACACACACTACAATGTACTGTGAGTAAAGTACAATGTCTTGTGTCCAGAGCTATGAGAATGAATGAATTTCTAGGGCCAAAAGCAGAGGTTGAGAAGCTGTTATCTTGGGCTAGGATCAAAACACCCAGGAGGACAGCTGTCTCAAGAGGTCATTGGTACAGCTAGGTTTTGGGCCATGGAAACATAAGCAAATATAAGAAAATCAAAAGAGACTCGTCCACTTCTAGCCCCATCCCTGAACCAGTTAAGGAAACTAGATTGAATCCATCTGTCAGAACAAAAACTCTACTTAATGAATAGTATCCTATTCATTAAGATCAGCTGATTAATTAATAGAGGCTATACTAAATTTCACTCTTGGTCTGTTCACCCTTAGCATGCCAAAAAGGTGTTAAAAGCTCCCTGCTCCGGTGATCTATCAGGAACAAAAGTAAACCAAGTGTAGCTTATTACCTTCTGCTTTTTAAGCACCATAGACTATGTTGACAAGCATTTTTACACTACAGACTTTGACCTTGATTAAATTATGGACTCTGCTTCTCGTAGCAAGGTGTGCTGACAGTAATGAGGAGCTTTTCCAAAAGAAAGAGTATTTCCAAAAAGAATGTTCAGAATTTAAATTTTTCACAGATTCTCTGGCAAATCACACAGCATGTAATGAAGAACAGAAGCAATATGTATCCTAAAATCCAGAGAGTTTCTATGGCATTTGGGATGACCGCAAGAACTTTTGTTAAGAGATCTAAGAAAGTCATGCACTAGTGTTTCGTGGAGAATTTCCTACTTTCAAGAGTTCATCCTTTTAAATTAAAATTCCAGAGAATGATCATTTAAAATGGCACAGAAAACAAATGAAGATTATTTTGAACAGATACATAGAAAGATAATTTCACAGAGTTTATAATATAAATATGCATTTTTACATCAGCATTAAACCGCCATTCTGATGTATCTCTTTTTCCAATACCATGGCATCTACTTACACAATCATATTTATCCTTTTTCCATAATCTGCCTATTTCAGCAAACTGCATCAGCATTCCCTTTAAGTTCCCAAGTGCTAGAGCTGCCAGGACAGACTGTGAAAGACATAAACACAAAATGTACTTTAAATTAATCGAATAAACCATATAGAAGCAAAGGTGAAGGCTTCAGATAAGTGGGTCCTTTCGGAGGCATCAAACCATATAGAAGCAAAGGTGAAGGCTTCAGATAAGTGGGTCCTTTCGGAGGCCTCAAACCATATCAAAGGATATACCCTTTTCCAGTGAAATGCTAGGTAAGGCTCACCAGGACTGGGACTCTGGGCCTGCCCCCTGCACGAGTTTGTCCCTACCACAGTGACAAGGGCTGAACTACTCTTTGTGATTATGCCATAGATTATTTGGGAGATTCTTTTTTTTTGGTAACGGGGATCGAACTCGGGACCTTGCGCTTTCAAGGCAGGCGCCTGAACCACTGAGCTAAATCCCCAGTCCCCATGCCATAGATTATTTGATGGCACTTGGCCTGAGCCTCAGGACAGAAAAAAAGATCCTAAGGCCTAATCACTGCAACAAATGCGTCCTAAGAGGAGCCAGTCTAATATGTGCCTGTTTATTAAAGTTGAGGTGATAGAAGTTAAATCTTTCTGAAAAAAATAGCTTGAGGTCCTGGAATGAGAATTCCAATCTTTGGTGATGACCAGCAATCAGGCCATTCTGTACCAAGCTAACAATCACAGAGAGGCCTACAAAGACTCGAGGCAGCCTCTCTGGGATATCAAGCATTACACCTGTCTTGTTCCTTGCTTTATCCCCAGAACAAACCCTGACAAATGCATATTATCCAACAAGTGAGTAGATGAGCTCATTTGAATGATCTTCCTCATGAGGTCATAAATTAAATACCCACAACACAACCTTTTAAGAAGGCCCAGTCCAGACACCATTGAGTAGTAGATTCATCGAGGGCCCTGGACTGTGAATTCAGCCAGCCACACTTTCCTTTAGACTTTGGTTTGCGCAAGCCAAAATGCCATTGTTGGCTTTGCTCAAGTTGTGATAGTTAAGGTGAAACCTACTGAATATCTAAGTATGCTCATCTTGTTTGGATTTTAACACAATGGTAGGAATGCTGTGCCCTCTTCAAACCATTCCCTAAGGGTGTGGAGTCTGGAATTTGTATACTGGCCACATTCACACCAAGAAAGCCCTGTATTCAAAGAAAACCTAACACAGCTTTTCTTTTCATATCTTAAAGACTGTTTAACTGATCCAGTATTTTTAATTTTCACAAGTTACTTTTATATATTAATATCTAAGCAGATAATTTGATTCACTGTGAGACTAGAGTTCATTGTTTAGGAGAAATGTGGTCCCCAAATAACTTTAAAAAGGAAATTGCATACAAACAAATGCCAGCTAAAAAGTGAGAAAACTGTATAAAGGCTGTAGTCTCTAGTACTGTACCAGTTAATGTCAAGGTACTGGTTTTGATATTGTATGAGAGCTATAACCACACGTTAGCTGGTGAAGGGTTTATAACACTGTACAATAGGCCTCCTTGTTCTGCAGGACTTTAGTGTAGGAATAAAATATGTCTAGTGCCACCTGTCAGAGACATTTTTTTCTATCGGGCATTATTTCCCAGCTGGCCAGCATTCCATGAAACAATTCTAAACAATTTACAATGATATAGTACACAATAAAGTAATTTTAAAAGTAAATTTTAGAGTACAACACAATAAAAAACCATAGAAAAGAAAGAGGGATCATTTCACCAGAAGCCTGTTGCAACTGCTATAAAGAATTAAATATGTATTAAATGCGTACAACTCTGCTGAAACTTAAAAAACATGCATTAAATATTCCTTACTTTTTTATCTCCATGTGATTAAAAAAAAGCAAAGTTGCTAGTCAGGTAAAACAGGTGACATTCCTGGCACAGTGATCTGAAGAGAATTCATCCCATGAGTTCGTCTTCTTTTTTTTTTTTTTTTTTGTACCAGGGATAGAACTCAGGACCTCAGGCTTGCCAGGCAGGCACTGCACCAGTGACCTAAATCCCCTGCCCGAAATTCTTTATGGATGATGCTTTGGTTAACATCCTGGACAATACGCTTGGGTGCGGTTTATTCAGGAGGGAGATAGGCCTTTAAATGTCAGTTGTTTCTTTTCTTTTTTTTTGTTACTGAGGATTGGGACTTTGCGCTTTCAAGGCGGCTGAACCACTGAACTAAATCCCTGGCCCTGGCAATTGTTTCTTTAGTGTCTCCAAATTGACGTGGGCTAAGTGGAACCCACATTTACACCCCATTGGGTTGTCCTCCGTGTGGTGCATTTATCTGTTTCGAGATACACACTTTTCTAATTCTTTAGTGGTGATTCCTTGGCTTCCATCCACTTGCAATCACGGAGAACACTAACTTTTGACAAACATACTCTGCAGTGCTTGAAGATACATTTTCCCAATGAGACTCTTGGGGATGACCACATGGGGAGTCCAAAAACCAGGAACTAAATTCACATTTCAGCTACCAATCAACCCGAAAAAAAGGCCTAGATAACAACCAAAGGACATTGGCAGGCTGTATCATATCTCTATGTTGTTTGTAGACGGAAGTGTAGCTGATTGTTTATATAATAGCCATAATAATATTAATGATTTTAATTAATAATATTAGTGACCTGCGTTAAGGACTTCGTGTACATTAGCTCATTTAATCTGCACAGCTACTCTGCCTAGCAGGTGTTCTTTCCCTCCTTCTTATACAAATGGAGAACTTGAGGTTCAGAGAAATTGAGTAATTAGCTCAAAAGCATGCAAATAATCAGAGGCAGAGCCATGATTAGAAGTAGGTCTATAGGGCTCCTGACCTATTTTTTTTATATCAAATGAAATCATATGAAAACCACAATGAATAATGTACTTGTATTTATCATCATCTGGTTTCCTATAGATCTTATATTTTTCTGGAATCTGGTGTTATATTTTAAATCTGGCTGCTGCAGCAATTTACAAACCTTAAACTAAGCCCTACAGTAACAGACAGGGGAAAGGGGCGAGGTTGTCTGCTCCCATCCTGCAAGCCAATAGTGTTGGTTTTGGAGTCTAGAAGCTGCAGGGTGTGTTTAAGAGAGCAGGTGGTGTGGCTGGTAGCACCATTCTCTGCACTAGATAGAGGACCAGGTGTCATCAGCCTTTAAGAAAATCTTTACTTAGTCCATCCGTGTTGGAGCTGCAGAGCCAGGACACTTTCCTGCTTAAACATTAATTATCTTCTGCACTACGCACATGCACAGAGCATGGTAGATAAGGTAATTTGGGCATCAGCATTCCTAACATTCACAAAATGCTTCCCCGGGCAAAGGAAATGTTTTTGAGCCATAGAGTTTGGCTAAGGAGAGTACTTGAAAGTTTGTTGTTACCTCATTTCCCCTAGTTTCATTTGTGCTTTCAGAATTTCAGAGCCAGAGTCCTTCTTCGACTTATCACCCCAATGAGAGAGATGCTACCCAAATGGAGAAGAGGGCTACCTTTTGTAGTGGTTCCAGAAGAAATCCGATGGCCACAATGACAATCAGCACGATGACAGCAGAGAGAATCCCAGCAATCTGTGAAGACAGAATAATTCTCTTCACAGTCTGCCCTTTCCCCTCGGCTTGGGTGCCCAGTCATTAACACTAGGATGGCAGCAGAGACTCTGAAGTACCTGTGTCTTGCCGCCTGTGCTCTCCTGAACCCCGGATCTGGAGAGGGCGGTGCTCCCTGCAAACCCTCGGAATGCTCCAGTGAATATGTTGCTCACTCCCAAGGCTATTAACTCCTAATAGGAGAACAAGGCGGAAACGTTTTTACAAGTGTTCTCTTTTAGAAGAATATTGTGTGCACAGATTTGTTTAAAGTCGCCTAATGAGACCGTAGGTTGCGCATTTACCTGATTGCCATCAATAGAATAATCGTATTTGAGGGAATAGACGCTGGCAACGGAAAAGGCCACTGCAAAGCCAACGATGGCAATACCGAAGCAGTCTCCGATGGTGTCTTGGAAGATCTGCACATCAGGTGTGATAGGTGACTCAAATCTGAAATTGAAATTCAGCAAATCTCTATGTCACCAACTTGCTGATAAATATACATCATTATTGGGCAAATTAATAAGTGAATGTAGTTAGTCTAGGCTGAATTATATCTCAATATGGAATATGACTTACAATAATTTAGTCCCACTGAAAACTTTGAAATTTTCCATCTTATTGCTGCAGAGCAATACTGCCTAGATTTGATAAAATACTATAAATCCAGTCCAATGATAGCAGTAAGGTGGACATGATTTTCTCCATACAAAGTGTCTTAGATCCCACTTGTATTGTGATGGCTTACAAAGCATTACCCACAATGCCTCTAGTACTTATCCATGGATGAAGGCTCTTTGAGCAAACACAGTTCTGAGACGACGAAAGCAAAAAAGTCTCCATCACTAACAATAAACTTTCATGGGAAACCCCTAACAAAGAGGTAGGCCTTGGACTTTTCCCCTGAACTCCACAGAACTGCCAGAACCAGCTATGGCCTGGGTGGAGAAAGAGTTTTAGGTAACAGTGGCAGGGTGTCAGAGCAATATTCATCCACAGAGGATACTTCTGTGCTTATGTCTCATGAACTTAGAGCAGTTAAATATATTTACCTGTTATATTATAAAAAGTGCATGTATCTCAAACTCACCATCAGTGCTCAGTTCCTATAGACATCTATTTTTATCTAAGACTCATTGGAAGTGGGTTAATTGGATTCAATCAACTTTTTCTGAACCCTTCTTCCATGTTTCATGACTATCTTTGATAATAAATTTTCAACTTCAGTAGGAAGAACTACTAATATTCCATACTCTGCCAGCACCAGAAATTGGAACATTACCTTGGAATGTCATATTATTTTTTAAAAAATAAATCTGAGGGCCAAAGATGTAGCTCAGTGGTGCTGCACCTGCCTGGCAAACACAAGGTCCTGAGTTCGATCCCCGGTACTGATGGGAAAAAAATCTGATATCAGTGATAAAATTAAATCTTGAATTTTATACAGAAATAACCAGAACCCTACTATTGTTCTTTGGTTTTGGTCTCTGAAAACCATAGAGAGATGAATGGAAATTAACGCCAAAGGCTTTGTCTCCTGGCTTTGCCACTCACCCTCCCTGGGTCACCCTCCCTGAAACACAGTGTCCTTGTTTATTCTCTTTTCTTCATAGTTTTGTGGGAGGATCAATAAAATAACGAATGTGAATACTATTTACATGTTGTGAACTGTTAGCTATCATTATAGGATTTCTCTGGAATCTAAATATATCCTTTGTGTTTCTTTTACTGTTTCAGTGAGGATTTCCTCTTAGACACAGTATTTATACCTAGTGCGTATGAAAAATTTCTAAAGTGGCATATGCATTAATAGCAGATAAGCAATAATTTACAATCATTACCTTCCAGTATGAGTCCATTTGCAATCAACAGAAATCTAAGATGCTCACTTAATCATCACTTAGAAAAAAATAGAAGTGTGAAAAAGCACATCAAGTGCCTTGTACCTAATTTTGGGGCTAACTTAGTAATAATAGTAAAGAAGACTGAACCCTAATTGTAGGCCATACACTTACCATGTCACAGTCATTAACTCATTTAATCCTTATAGGAATCCTATGTGAAAGCTATGACTTTCTATTCCATTTTTACTGCCTACGATACCGAGGCACTGTTTAGGAATTTGCTCAGTCTGGAAGTCAGCCTGAAGTCAGTCTCAGACTCTCTGTCTCTAGAATGCAGGTGCTCGCCTACGGGGCCTCCCTGCCTCTCTGCAGAGTGTAATGGTCAATGACTGTAAGCTAGTTCCTTCCCCACCCCACACATTTGTGCAGAGAGATCCATGACATTTAAACTACGTTTACTAAATAAGATCTCTAGGATTATTATTCAGTGATCTGAGGTTATGATTTATTTTCAAAACTCTTCTGCCTGACAAAACTTTCTTTGAGCTTGCATTTGTTTATTTATTTTTCAATGTGGTTTACATTTCCCAAGGCATTTAATAAAGCACAATCACTTGAAGTTACAGGGTGGAGGGAAACCCTGGTAACAGTCTTTCAGTTCAGCCTAGTTTCCATTTCACAACTTTTTAAATTAAAATTGATGTTTGCAATTCCTTAAGGTGAATACATGAAGATCTTTACAAAATATATTTTTGTCTAAACTGCTATGAATTTGGTTATTTTTAAGACAAAAATCTACATGGATGATGATTTCTGGAATTTTCAAATACTTGTTAAGGATTGGGGAGGAGAGTGGTTATTGATTGATTTAGATAGGAAAATCTTTCCTCAGTAAGTTGAAAGAAACTGATGCTATCTATGGTCAGAGGGGAGAGGGAGAGAAAAGAGAACACAAAGCTGGATCTCCCTTCTGAAGCCCCTAAATATAATGGGACATATTTTCAAGTTCCTTATACAAGCCAGGCTCCCCATTCTTTTTGCTGTCGCTTTGGCTTTGTTTTGGGTTTCATCGTGAGAAAGGACAGAGTGTGCCTGTCTGGATTGCTGGCACTTCTTCAGGGTCTCTTTTGAACTTTCAGAACTTGGCTCCAGCAACCTCAATCAAAGCACTACATATTGTTTATGGTAATACACGGACAAGGAAATCTGATTTCAGTTTGTGCTTCTTTATAAGGACAAGTGGTTTATTTTGCCTGGTTTCCTACTTTCACTAATTTTTACTTTCATTGAATCTTTGTTTGCCTGGTCTGTGAGTTCTTCCACAAAGAGAAATTTCCCAACATTAACAACAGTAGATTCTGATATTCTTTGTAGCTTCTTCCTTGAAAGAGGGTAGCAAGCCTTTTTTACGCCTGTAGGGTGTGGGGGGCTTCTGAGGAGGGCTGTATACAACTGCTACTCTTTGTCTATTGAGTGCTTGAATACTGCATAACTACTACCCACTCTCTATTGACGCCAGCATAGAAGATACACTTACCCTTGTTTCATATTCCCAATCACAGACACGTTAAACCTGTGTTCGAAGTCAAAGCCATAGGATACACCTGTTGCGATCACAGCCTGGAAAGTTGTAAATTATCTAAGTTAGAAATGTGAGAATCCATTAAGAGTCCCACTTTGAAAAAAAAGTCCCATTTCCCAAACCACCCCTGGCTATATTACATAAATATTTCCAGCCAAGTCTTTGTTATTTTTTTAAAGAAGTCTTGAGATGATTCTCACAGCTCTTCAGTGGATTGTCTGGTCTTAAAAATCTTGCTATTCTTATCCTCCCTGTCTTATTTTTTTAAAAATAATAGCTTTAGTGAACTAAAATCTGCGAACTCTACACATTCAAAGTATATGATTCAATAGATTTCAGCACTCATTGACAGGGTGGTACAACCATGACCACCATCAAATCTATATCTTTTTTGTTATCCCAAAGCAAAACAGGATAAACCCCAAATTGGAGTAAAAGATTAAGTTATTGAATTTGGAATGAAGAGAAAACCATACTAAACATGACACCCAGAAACTGCAGAGTTGGGATCTGCCTCATTAAGCCTCCTGATCTACAAGATGGTAAAGGGTCTTCAATATCAAAGCACTAGACTCTGAAAGAGTTTCCAAGATGATAAGTTACCATGATGAGTTCAATGGGGATAGGCACTGGAAGTTGTGCTTTGTAGTGCTGATTTATTTCCTTAACCACAAATACAGCAGCTAGGATAACAAGAGATGTCACAAGGTCTGCGATGTTCGTCTTCTCTATTTGGGTGAATACAGACTCTAGTACCTACAATCACAAAACACAAAAATCCTGTATCAATGCATCATTTGGATGCAGCGTTTATCTCCAAATAGATAAAAATGGACACCAAGGCAAAAGGTGAGGCATGGGGAAAGGCAAGTGGAAATTCTCTGTTCCGCGCCTGTTAACCATCAGTGAGGGGGCTGTGGAGACCAGTGTGGAGAGGTGCAAAGTGTCACTTAGCAGGGCATGGGTTTAGGGATGCTTCTGTCATTTTTTCTGAGATATTTTTGGCTAGTGTCAAATTTTGTTGGCTACTTTTCACATTTTTGCAATAGATCTCATCTGCCTCCAGGTCTCTTTGGCCATTGATTTTTTATTTCACGACCATCACTACTGTCCTGCCCAAGGAATAACTTTTAATCCCTGATAGTTTTCTTTTTAAAAACCATGTTTCCCCTTAAATCTTGGTCTTTTTCAGGTCTAGACTCCTCACATTGTTTAGCTGATTTGCCAGACCACTTCTAGAAAAATAGTTTCCTACTAACTGCATTGTGCACCCATAGGCTTGCTTTATAAAAGCCACCTGAGTTCCATGTGCGTCGGTCCAAGATAGCTCGAACAGGCTCAGTCTGAATCCCAATTGGTCCTAGAAGGGCAACCCACTCCTAGACTAGCTCTGGATTGAAGTGAAAGAGTGTTAGCTCCAATTTGGAGCAAGTTCTGTCTTACACTCCTAAAGACTGGGTAGAAGTACTAAGGACACCATTGTTTAAAAAATGATGAGAGCCCATTGCTTTGCACCAAGCTCCTGCTGTAGGCCTCAATAGACCAGACTAAACCAAAATAGAGTCACTCATGCTAAATGCCACTTAAGCAAGCTGAAACTTTAAGGAAGTAGATACATTCTGAAATATAACAAGTATTTTCCTCCTAAAAACTAGATTCCAGTCTAGCTGAGTTTAGCTTAATAAGCTAGCTTTCTGTTCTGTAACTTGTACAAGGTGGGGGTGGGGTAGCCATAAGTAAGCTGCCATCTGCCAATTATTTTTTCTATTGTTTTGCTTTCTTGTTCCTGCCTAACCAAATCCATTGTTTTGCTATTTCCCAGTGAAGTTTGAGACCAAATAGATCTATTTATGGTGGTGACAGAGAGTAATGCCAATGCCTGAAGTTTTGGCCATTGTCTCAAACTGAAAAGGCTAACCGAAAGAGAAGAATTAATCTGGCCTAAAGTTGCCTCTAAAGCTCAGAATTAATTTGACCTAAAGGCTTTTTCTTACATAACAACCTCATTTGATGCATAAACAGACTAAGCCACTCTTGTAACAAGTAGCTGAGTTTCAGGCAATCAAAAGTGGCCAACTTGTGACAGAGCCTATTCCAATGACAGACATGAGCTGTGACCAGTCAGGGCATCTCTGTAGGTTACTTCCATTTTTCTATATATTACTTCCTTTTTGCTGGCTATAAATGCAACCAGGCTATGTGGTGAGGTGGAATATTCTGAACCATTTTTGGTCCAGACTTCTGCTTGATTCTATAATCGCAAATAAAGCCAGTTAGGAGCTGCAAAACCAGGTCTGTTGTACTTTTGGCCTTTTGCACTTCTACTTTGCATCCTCTGGAGGAGTGAAGAACCACTGTCCTATCTACCAGTTAGTTGATGTCATTTTGCTTTATAAACAGGGGCACACAAAGGACTTACAAACTTCAATTTGTGACAGGCCTTCTTTCTCAGAAACAGGGAAACATTATAACCTAGTAGACAGGTTTTTTTTTTCGAAATAAGATTTTTAGAAAAATTTTAAAATCTCAGGATAAAATAATAAAACTTTTTAATAATATACTTAGATTTTTTTCTTTTTCAAGCAAAGAGTCAACCCTAAGAGAAGTTTTATTTGATCTCTGTTGTTGACATTAGTTGTATGGTAGATATGGTTGATTTTCAGCGTTGATATCTTTTACATTAACTTTTTCTTAACGTGGGTCAGTTTTACAACTCATTAGTGAAAGTTGTAGGTTGGCCCCACATTGAAGGAAGTTTCTCTAAGAAACACAAAGTGAGTTTCAAGTGCTTCAGTATTTTTCAGAGGAGGAAGTACTTACTTTGAAAATTGAGAACGGGTCACTGTGTGCAGGGACTGTCAGTTGCAGCATGAATTTGAGTTGGGAAACCAAAACGTGAACGGCAGCAGCAGTGGTAAAGCCACTGATTAGAGACTCAGATAGGTATATCACTACAAATCCAATCTGCAGAACCCCCAGGGCCAGCTGGAAAGAGGACAAAAGCCTTTGTTAGTGTAGATTAGTGGTACACCTTGGCAAACTAAAGGATCAGCAGTTAAAATAATTCAAAAATGTAAAAAGTTCAGCCTTCATGTACAGGCCTTGAAGAAGCCAATGTCTCGACCTCCTGGAACACCTCCTATTCAGGGTTTCTGTCTCTCACCCCGCCAGCCCAGGTGGAATGTTACATGATGTTCAAATATGACATGACTCCTGTAGTCCCCAAGAAGTATCAGATTTACAACCCCCTCCCATTTTTCAGTTGGCATCCTTAGAAGACTCACTGTAAAGTTTAAAGCAAACTTTATCTTGGATCAATCCTCACAAACTTGCTGATGTAATTTTGTTACACTTTCTAGCTGCTGTAGCATGCATGGTCGAATGCCCATTCATGTTCCCTCAAACAAGTTGCTCAATTTGCTTAAGAAGTACATAACTGCACACTGCACCTTAGAAGTGCTCGGATCTAGCTGGGGAACAATGGTGGTTAATTCTCCCCAAAGCATCAGTGTTTTGCCATCAAATGAATTGAATGGCTTCTCCTCTCCTTGGATACTTAGCCTGTCTTTCCACGTCCCCAGAATACACACAGTGTCTGTGGGTTCCATTTCTGTACAGAGGTTCAGAAGTATAAACAACTGACCACATGGTCTGTCAATAGGGACACCCATTTATCTCCTTGTAACAACTGATTTTCTCTTTCTTTAAGACATTATCTTAACCAATAATATCACTAACCATAAACTTAGGCAACATCTTGAAAAGTCCATGACATTTTTCACTATTAAAAATGATGTCAGTATTGTGATTTGGGAATGAGGCTTTAGGCCCCAGTGTCATCTCTTTAGTTTCCCCCAAATCTCTGATATGGACAGGTCAAAGGGCAAAGTCCCCATGGCTTCCAACTGGACTATAGTCATTGAGGAATTAGGAAGAAAAAAATGTCTACCGCCACTAGTATCACTACTACTTGCGTATACTTATATTGCATGACTGTACCAATTCTGGGGTATTTTATTGAATTAAGCATTTTATTCCTTACTACTAGTGTCGCCACACTTCCACTATTTCTTCTACAGAGAGTGATCAAAAAATAATGTGAACGTTTAAAGTAAGAAAAATTGATTATGATAAAATACACTTTACCATGAATCTCCCTAAAATACTCCCTCTCATTTCAAACACACTTATCCCATCCTCTTTCATGTCTTTATGAAGTGTGATTAAAAAAAATATGGTATGGCAGCTGACCAGTGCCATCTGATGGAAAGGTAGGCTCTAAAAGAGGTCGTGGTGGTTCCCCGTCCACCTTCTTTCCTGGATCTGACACCATGCAACTTCTAGCTCTTCCCCAAGGTCAAAATGTCCATGACAGGTAAATATTTTGAATTGATTCTGGACACTGAGGCAGACACAACAGCTCAACTAAAGACATTTATGAAAAAGAACTCCCAAAACTGCTTCAGAAGGTGGCAAGATATTGTATATTCAGATAAGTCTATTCAATGTGAGGGGCAGTCTTATGAGGGGGACTCATAGCAATATAATACATTTGCTATAATCAATTTCTTTATTTAAACACATCATTTAAAAAACTTTATCACACCTTGCATCTAGACCCACATTCTATTTTTGCAACTTAGATCTGCCCCCTCACCCTACCCCTCTGGTTGTGGTGAATAGTCCTTCTTAAATCATTTTCTATGAGCCCCTGAAGGAAGGACACAAACCAAAGGGAAAATGTGGAAGAGTAAGTAACAGGAGGGAGGAAAAAACAAAGATTTGTAGCAGTCAGAACAAGGAGTTTACAGGAGGCAGATTCCACGAAGAAGTGCTTACCTGGATGATTCCAGAAAGGACCGTGACTGATGTTGCCACCAACAACTTCCTGTCCTCCAGTAACGAATCATTACCCATTAGGTTACTTGACGAATTTGTGGTAGTACCGGCATCTGAGGCTACTCTTGTAACTACTGCTCCCACCATCATACTCAGAACGGGAAATGGACCTAATTAACCAAGGGGCAATTGTAGTTAGTATGCATCATCCTAAAGCATAGTTGTATTCCAACCACAGAGTAGCATATAAAAAGAATTCCATGTACTGGGGATGTAGCTCAAAGGTAGATGCTTAGCATGGTTGTGGCCCTCAGTTTGATCACCAGCACTAACATACAAAAACAAACAAACAAAGACTGCCTTGTGCAGTCTAGCTCTGCTTCCCAATCCTAGTGCTAATTCCTGCAGAAAATTATGACTGTTCTGAATTATAGACAATTTGGAATTGATAATGTGTGGCTAATAGAATATATGAAAAAGCAACATGAGCATTCATCAGCACAGTAGCCGACTTACCCACAGATATGTGTTTAGAAGTGCCCAATAAGAAGTAGGTTAGAACTGGGAAAAAAGCTGCATACAAGCCGTATCTTGGAGGGATGGTGACCAGCAGAGCAAATGCTAAACCTATAAACACACAAGCAAAAGGATCCTTATTTTGTGCAAGGGAATCGGAGACATTTTCATTAGGGTCTTCTGGTATTTGAGACTAGCTCTTTAAATAAATTACTTTATTAACTCAAAATGTATTAAAGGTGTAAATATCAGAACTATGAGCACAAATACAGAAGAAAACATAAGTATAAATTTTTGTGACCCTGGATCAAGCAATAGTTTCTTAGAAATGACACTTGGAGTTAAGGAAAGGGGAAAATAGATAAATTGACATCATTGAAATTAAAAAATGTGTACTTCAAACAAGCTACTAGGAAAGTAAAATAACAATTCACAGAATGAGCTGTTATTTGTATATATACATTAGATAAGGGTCTAGTACCCAGAATATATAAATAAATCTTGCAACTCTGCAATAAAAAGATCACCCAATTTTTAAAAGGGCAAAAGGATTTGAATAGCAATTTCCCCAAAGATATACAAATGACCAATTAGCACAGAAAAAAGACACAGTACCACTAGTCATTAGAGAAATACAAATAAAAACCACAGTAAGATACCACTTCATACCCAACAGGGTAGCTAAAATAAAAAATGTAGACAACAGAAAGCATTAAAGATGTGGAGAAATTTCAATCCTCATACACGACTAGTGGAAATGTAAAATGGTATAGGTACTTTAGAAAACAATTTGGTAGTTCTACAAGGGATTAACATAGAGCTACCATATAACCCAGCAATTACATTCCGGTAGATATACCCAGGTCATCAAAACATGTTTACACAAAAAGCCATACACAAATGTTCACAGTGGCATTATTCATAATTTCCCCACAAGTGTTCATAATATCATTATTCATAATTGTCTCAAAGTATAAACAACTCAATTGTCCAGCTGATGAATGGATGAACAAAATGCAGTATAGCTACACAATAGAATATTATTTGCTACAAGATGAATGAGACTGGAAAGCATCATGCTAAGTGAAAGACATTAAACACAAAGTGTCACATATTGGGCAATTCCTCACACCTGTAATTACAGCACTTGGAAGTTTGAGGCAGGAGAATTGCAAGTTTGAGGAGACCAGTGTGGACTACATATCAAATTTAAGGCTGTCATACACTACATAACACAGAGAGAAAGCTTGCCTACAAAAAGATGGTGTGGGGAGGAATCCATAGAGACAGAAAGTCATGGTCAGGGGAATGAGTGGAGGGTGAATGTGAAGTATCTAAGGGTAAGGGATTTGGCAGGAGTTTGTGGTAGTGGAAATGGTGGTGTTAGATGGAAAATCTAATGAGGCCTTGAATTTGATCCCTGGAACCATGGAAAACAAAACTAAACCAACAGGTGAACTTTACAGTATGTGAGTTGTATCTATCTATCTATCTATCTATCTATCTATCTATCTATCTATCTATCTATAAAAGTTACCTTGAAGTACAGCCACCAGCCCTGTGCTGATACCAGAGACAATGTCGCTGAGCAGCCATTCTTTCAACCGGTATGCTGGTAACCAAGCTGCTATGGGGAGCAGAGACAGGGCAATTCTCTTGGCCTTTTGTGTGGAACAGCTGAAAACATCAAAAGCCACAGGTCAGTCAACTGACATCAAATTTTAAGTTTAGCACCCAACTGTAGGTGGAAATTTGGTTAAAATGATAATAGATTAAAGATTAAACTAGCAATTTTACTCCCACTCATATGAACTTCTTCACCCACATCAACTTGGTTATCACTAAAAGATTCTTTTTTTTAAAGAAAAATACCAGCTTTTCCTTAGATGGCAAAGAATTCATTTGTCATCCTCAGCTTGAGGTGTGTGACATTTCAATTGAGAATTTGCCTCTGTCCCAATTTGTGAGTTCTGGTTTGGAAAGAGTATGTTGATAGCTGAGCTGGTGTTCAATTTTAGACACTAGCTTTCCAACTCTGGAAGGGAGGAGGGGATTTGGAAATGGAAGACAAAAAGACTCTTTGAGCAATGGACTAGAGCCAGAAAGGAGAACTGAAAGGTAGAAGATTGAGGGAAAATGTGCTTCATTTATTCCTCATGCCAGTATCTTAAAAAAGATCTTACCTACACCATGCTTTAAGATGATCCAGAAATGTCTTATGATGTCTTTCCTTCTTCCTGTGGTCTTCCCCAAAAGCATTTGCAGAATACACTGGCCTGGCCACAATGTACTGATTCCCTATGGGTTCGATCATTTTGTTTTCTCTGGTGGTGGTGCCAAGTGGAAGACCTTTGGAACTATGTGGTGAACACTTCTTGCCTTTTGCAGGTTGAAATGTCTGAAACCAAACAGAGCTTGCTTCTTAAATAACTCAGAGATAATGTGATGCAATTTACAGATGAGTGAACTCCGAACTGGATGTTACCACCTTTCGAGATCAAAAGAGGCAAGATTAAGGGGCCTGGATTATGCTTTGTGACAGTGCTATCACCTTTTTTTCTCTAATGTGCTGGACACAGGTCCTTTGGGTAAGTAAACAAAGCTTTTATTTTATTTTTTTTGAAAAATTGCAAAAAAAAAAAGCAATAGAAATGGATTCAGTTTGCTAATCAGTCATTTTCTACTTGTAAAGTGAGACCATCAGATTGACTTTTTATTCTAGAAATGTTTCCAAAGTTATGGTTTTGAAGTATTGGGACAGGTTAGAAAGTCTATTCATTTCTCCTAACTCCAAATCAAGTCTGTTTTAAGTACCCATCATAACTTTTTTTTTTTGGTAACGGGAATTGTACTCAGGTCCTTGCGCTTGTGAGGCAGGCAGCAGAACCACTGAGCTAAATCCCCAGCTCCCCATCATAACTTTCATAATACCTTAAAAAATGTTTTTTTTTTTACTTGTGCAATTCAAAGATATTGCCCATTTATTTTTTTTCTGGGAGTTAGAGTTTTACAATTTATAGTTGAGGAAACTATGGCACAAACTGGGTATGACTTGGTTACTTACTTCACAAGTGACAAGGTCCTTTTTAAGGAAACTCCTTGGGTGAGTTACTTAACATTCCTTAGCCTCGTATAACTGGAGTAAAGATAACCAAGGTTCAAAGTGGCTGTAAAATTAAATGAAGATGTTTTCAAAGCATCTACTCTTGTGTCTCTCACACTATAAGTATTCATCAAATGATAGCTATTATTGTTATAATTAGCATTTTCTGCTTGTCTGAATGTTTAGTCTTATCTCAATCCTGTTTCTGTTATACTTAGAAGATCAATTTTAAATTGGGTATGATGGCACACACCTGTAATCCAGAGTTCTGAGAGGCTGAGATAGGAGGATCAAAACTTTGAAGCCAGCCTTGGCAACTTGGCAATTTAGTGAGACCCTGTCTTAAAAATTTAAAACTAAATAAAATTTAAAAATGGTCTGGGGATGTAGCTGTATGTAAAGGCCCAGGGTTCAATTCCTAGTACTGAAGGAAAATCAATTTTACAAAAATCCTTTCATGCACATTACCAATTTAGCCCTCACAATTATTTGAGCCATTTATTATTATTATTATCTTCTTCTTACAAATGAGAAATAATTGCACCCCCCCATTCCTTGCCAAGTTCCAAGTTTTTTCTCTTGCGTCCTACAGCTAGCAGTGTCAAAAAAGGGACTTCTATTTTTCGACTTTGCTATTTCTTCTGTGACAGGCAGTTTCTCTATTGTCCAATATGAGCATAACTGAACAACATTCTGCTAGCATTCCCCCATCTCAGCTCTGTATTACTTCCCATAATGCCCAGAGTTTTGTTGTCTGACTTAAATCTCAGTGATTGAATTATCTCCCACAAGGTTGTATCTTATTGCATGGTACTCTCTCATACCGTTGCAGTGTGTCTGCAGAGCTCACGTTCTAATCAGGAATTAGATACTGGCCTCAACTCCTGGCCTTGACTGACCTCTCTTTGACCATCCATTTCTCTCCTGCCCCACCTCCCTGGTGTCTAATAGCCTCCACTGGCTTTCTCCGACCACAGTGAAGTATTTCTGCCTCACCCTCTAGGTTGGCCCTCAGAATTTGAAAGCCTTTAAATTTTATTATGACTTTTAGATCCTCTTTCACTGTTCTTTCTGAGCCTCCCACTTGGCCAAAGAGCTTGTCTCCCCCATCCCTCATCTCTATCCCCTCTTTCATGTTTCCAACATCTTTCCAGTTCCAGGTGCTGTAGCTGACTAACTGTATAGGATTTTCCATTGTCAGAAGAACTTGCTCAAGAAATACGTGGCTTGCTCAGTGCTATATGTGGTATGAATTTTTGTCTGGTGTTTTGGTTTGTTTATTTTTTGTTATTTTACCAGTTACAATCCATGGTCAAGGTCTCATGACGTCTTGCTTGTCTTACAAGGGCTGACTAGTTCGTCTTTCCAGAACAGCTCTGGAGTTGTGTCAGCCTAGGCAGCCTTAGGATGAAGAAGGCTCAAGTGCTGTGCCTTTTCACTTTTGTCAGATGTGCTATGGATTGGGGGGTGGGGAGAGACAAAAGGAAAGGAAAAAAGAAGGAAGGAAGGAAGGAAGGAAGGAAGGAAGGAAGGAAAGGTGCTGTCTGCTCTTTGGTTACTTCATTCACCTTCCCACAAGGAGTTCATACAAACTCTTTTGTTTTCTCCCCTAAAAAAAGATACTGAACATGCTTTTCTTCCCTGGCCAGTTGCATGTTCTCTCTCTGCTAATCCACAGTCTAATTTTTTTCTTTTGTTTTTCTTTTTTGCCAGTGACAATGACAGCAGAACTAACTTCATGTAGCCCTTCCCTGGGGGTGATGGAGGGTCTTTCTCGGGCTCCCCTCAGCCTCCACCTGGATGGAGAGTCTGAACTCTGGCCAGGCCCTGCAGACAAGGGTGTGTTCCAGGGCAGTTTAAGAAATCTTTCCAGAGGCACAGAGAGACCTTGAGAGCCACATTCCAGCCTCCCGCCTTGCTTCCAAGATGCCACCTCATGTTCTAAAGTAACAGACCCAGTCTTGAGCCCAGCACCCCGCAGTGGATGCCATTCTTCATTCCTTGCTTCTTCAGGATGACGTACTTCAGTTAAGAATTCAGAAGTGATTTTATTAACTTATTTTTTCACTAGAACAAGTTACCCTTTTCCAAGAAATTCTTGGGAAAACATGTTTTTGGTTTCTGTAATCACAGTTTTAAATATTACACCCACATTAACACCTGCCCTGTAATGTTCTGTTTTATCTTTGTGGCTCAATTTCCCTCTGGGTTCCTTAGGGTGTCAGTGGTTTTTGAGGAACTGAAATTTGTTTCCAAGGACCCTTCCCCCTAAAAATCTTGGAACTCGGAGGCTAAGTTGGAAATATTTCCATTTTTATTTATTTTCCTATTATGTACTCTTTAATTTTCTGCCCTTTATGATATATACATACATAATAACATAGACACACACATTTATACCTATATATCTATACAACTTGGTGCTCTGTCTTAGTCATATATGTTGTCATTCTCTGCTTTTTCAATTTTTAAGCAGAAATCTAATCCTGGGGTTAATTTCTGAAGTTCAGTCTCTCAAGTCAGTGATTCTGGTTTATTAATAAATCTGATATTTCTAGGGGTGGTCCTGTACCCACCCCTGCCCCACCCCAGCGGTTCCACCCATTTCAAACCTGTAGCCTAAGCACGGAGTGTCACAGCCTGGCCTCCAGTTGCCTGGGAACCTCCACTCTGCCTGCCCCCTTCTGCTGCAAGGTGGTTTATGGCCCTGACCTTTCTACTGCTCTGCATTTATCTAGTGTTCTGGTCTTTCAGAGGTCTGTCCTTTCTTCTGGGAAGCTACCAGTTTGAACCAAGATGCTCATAAGCAGTGCTAGGATTTGTTTTGAATTAGTGGTGATTTGAAACCAGGAGGTGTCTAGAACATGTCCCAGCCCCTGCCCAGCTACAGGTGATGCTTTCCCTCTTGCACCAGGCAGCTCTCGATGACACCACCTCTTCCTACCGTAGCCACTCAAGCTAAGGAGAGTCTGCACGGACATCACTGAAATGCCGTAGTATGCCTGAATGCTTCTCCTCTCTTGGATCTCAACATAGCCCTGTGGCAGTGAGTGGAAACCAGAGGTAAGCCAGCCCTCTCTCCTGGACAAGTCCCTGGAGAATAGGGACTGCTCCTGGGGGAGGAGGGAGAGATGGGAAACTACAGAGCCACTTGCTCCAGGGAGCGTGAAGAGACCATTCAACAGCCAAGGAGGAATGAGAGTCAAGGGCACAAAAAGGCCCCATTTGTAGCTGGTGTCAAGCTGGGGGAAAGCAGGGAGGTGACAGCATCAGCATCAAAAGGGTCTAGAGTCGGGGTCAGGAGTAACTGGTGGGGGGCAAAGGCAGGCCAACACTGGTGTTGGTGAAGAGAGGTTGTGCTGAATTAGTCTGTGGATCTTTTTGATTAAGAGTGCAAACTTTCTGTTGTTAAACAAGTTTTTTAAAAAAACTGGGGGTGGAAAGGTGTCACAGTTTGGGGTGGGCAACAATTTCCTGTGAAAAGCTGTGATTTTCCTTTGTTTGGTCACTTTTGAGGCACAGCAGAGTGGCTAAGCTATGTTATGTGTGTATACATGAGTTACAGTGGACCCTTGATTTACAAACTCAATTCATTCGCGAGGGCTGGTTGTAACTCAAGTTGGTCAATGAAGGTTCAGGCTCCTCTCCACAGCCTTCACAGTCTCTCTCCTGTGTACAGGCAGAGCTCAGTGTCCTTAGTGAGACATTGGCCCAGGATTCCTCAATTAACCCCACAAAGGAAAGGATGCTGTAATGTTCCTTCCAGAACTCTTTAAGGGTTAAACCTGTATCTGAGACCATCTGGAAGCACAAGCGGCTGGCATTCAGGTTGTAACTCAAGACTTTGGTAAGAAGTTGAAACTAAAATTCCAGTCATAACCCAAGATGTTTGTATGTCAGGCCAGTCATAACTCAAGGGTATTTGAGGGAGTAATAAATGGGTCCATTATTCTTTAGAATATAGAAAGCATCTGTGCTCGCTGCCATTTAGTGCTGATCACTTGGAGGTGACAGGCATCTCACAAAAACATCCAAGATTGTTTTTGAAGGCAGAGTCATTTCTTGGGGAGTGCAGATAAGCTGACATAGAAAGTATTTAAGGGTGATGGGACTGGGGTGAAGACCCTGGGGATGTGGAAGGGGTTCCCCCGTGCCCAAGACAAGATGGCTAAAGGAAGAACTCTTTTCTTCCTTTGGCCAAATTTATATGGATAATATACATATCTTTAGTTCAGTGTCCTTTCTAGATAAGAATATGACATACGTCTC